GTGTAAGTAAAAATATGTGTTATATATACACTGCAACATGCTATATTAAAGCTTTGAAAAGGAGTGAAGATCACTTTAATAGTTATATACAACCTTTAAGCTGCTTTTTAGTTTTGAAAATAAATTGTATGAAATATTAGATTTTTAAAGCAAATAATAATCATGTCATCATAATCATCGGTCTTGTCCAAATATAGAGCCTCTCAAGGTCGGTCTTTATGGGAGAACTCAGGCAATTTCATGTCATAGTGACATAACCTCTAAATATAGCAAATAGTGAATAAACAACTTTTTAGTTTTAAAAATAAATTGTATGAAATAATGCAAATAATAATCATGTCAGATATAATTGATGTGTTTACCTTTAAGGGTCCTATTTTGATAATAGTCTATCCCATAGGCTTACTGTATGAGCCAATAGGTAGGTCTACTAAATATTCACTTTAAAGTGAGTTACATTCAGATTCTTTATCACAGCACTACTGGTGCACAACAGGTTTTATAACAGGGTGAGTCCAGAAGAAGTGTGTAGCTCCCACAATTCTTTCATATTCTATCGTATTCGGGGATTCCCCATTATATGACGTCCAATCAAATTGCAGGATGTGATCACGTGAACAATCATGAGCACAAGCTCATTCAGTGCTGTGCATGCGTAAAGTAAAATTTGAAATCGTGGAAATGGTTTTTATTTCAGTTTAATATCATTTCAACATCATCATTTCAAAACTATGGTAATACTATTGAAGTTACTCGATCCAAACTTGTAGAGAATACTCATTTACAACAGCGAACATTGTGAGATCCATTTCAATGGCAAATGAGGCCTGTTTATAAATTGGTCATCGAATGTGCCGAATACTACAGGTCATCTTTGGGAAATTTCCCCCCCTGGGGTGAGTCAAAAAAAAGTAACCCAAACTAATGTAAATAACTCGGTCATTCAGCATGGGTTTGATTGCATATTTGGCACAATTAAAGCGTGTCCAATGTTCTTTCATTCTACCTAGTTAATTTGGTCTATTTTGATTGGTCATAATTTTACAAAACATAATAAACGTATTACACATGGCCATATAAAAGTACGGGGTGTAGTTGTTCACTACACAAGAACAGATATCTTACATTTTGGCTCTCACCTTCCTTCTTATCTCTTGTTTCAATATTTCAAGGGTTGTTAGTGTAGACAATAGGCCCAAAGATTAAAATCTGGTGGGCTTTATGCCCGGTGAGTAATGCATGTAATGGCATTTGGGGCACGTTTTGTAAATGTAAGCATTGGAGGTAGACCAATGGAAGTTTATAGAATGAAAGAACATTGAACGTAGTGGTTTAGTTGTGCCAAACCAATGCTCAATGACAGTGTTATTAACATACATTTGATTGGGTCACTTGTTTGGCTCACCCTGTACCTCATAAACAATTCATCAAGCATGATTTTCAACCCATGCTCAATGACAGTGTTATTAACATACATTTGTTTGGGTTACTTTTTTTGGCTCACCCTGTACCTCATAAACAATTCATCAAGCATGATTTTCAACCCATGCTCAATGACAGTGTTATTAACATACATTTGTTTGGGTTACTTTTTTGGCTCACCCTGTACCTCATAAACAATTCATCAAGCATGATTTTCAACCCATGCTCAATGACAGTGTTATTAACTTACATTTGTGTGGGTTACTTTTTTGGCTCACCCTGTACCTCATAAACAATTCATCAAGCATGATTTTCAACCCATGCTCAATGACAGTGTTATTAACATACATTTGTTTGGGTTACTTTTTTGGCTCACCCTGTACCTCATAAACAATTCATCAAGCATGATTTTCAACCCATGCTCAATGACAGTGTTATTAACTTACATTTGTGTGGGTTACTTTTTTGGCTCACCCTGTACCTCATAAACAATTCATCAAGCATGATTTTCGACCCATGCTCAATGACAGTGTTATTAACATACATTTGATTGTGTTACTTGTTTGGCTCACCCTGTACCTCATAAACAATTCATCAAGCATGATTTTCAACCCATGCTCAATGACAGTGTTATGAACTTACATTTGTGTGGGTTACTTTTTTTGGCTCACCCTGTACCTCATAAACAATTCATCAAGCATGATTTTCAACCCATGCTCAATGACAGTGTTATGAACTTACATTTGTTTGGGTTACTTGTTTTGGCTCACCCTGTACCTCATAAACAATTCATCAAGCATGATTTTCAACCCATGCTCAATGACAGTGTTATTAACATACATTTGTTTGGGTTACTTTTTTGGCTCACCCTATACCTCATAAACAATTCATCAAGCATGATTTTCAACCCATGCTCAATGACAGTGTTATTAACTTACATTTGTGTGGGTTACTTTTTTGGCTCACCCTGTACCTCATAAACAATTCATCAAGCATGATTTTCAACCCATGCTCAATGACAGTGTTATTAACTTACATTTGTGTGGGTTACTTTTTTGGCTCACCCTGTACCTCATAAACAATTCATCAAGCATGATTTTCGACCCATGCTCAATGACAGTGTTATTAACATACATTTGATTGGGTCACTTGTTTGGCTCACCCTGTACCTCATAAACAATTCATCAAGCATGATTTTCAACCCATGCTCAATGACAGTGTTATGAACATACATTTGTTTGGGTTACTTGTTTGGCTCACCCTGTACCTCATAAACAATTCATCAAGCATGATTTTCAACCCATGCTCAATGACAGTGTTATTAACATACATTTGATTGTGTTACTTGTTTGGCTCACCCTGTACCTCATAAACAATTCATCAAGCATGATTTTCAACCCATGCTCAATGACAGTGTTATGAACTTACATTTGTGTGGGTTACTTTTTTTGGCTCACCCTGTACCTCATAAACAATTCATCAATCATCAAACAATTCACCACACAACTCAACTAATCAGGAATGTTTGTGCAAAATATCTTGGTAATTGAAAATCAAAGTAACACACAGACGATGTATCTATAACCTAAAACTCCAAATAGATATGACTATATGTTGTATAAAAAGAGATTTAAATAAAATATCGTTGCACAGAGATAAATAAAAAAGAAAAAAAACTTGGGCAGTGCCTTATCCATTAGGCCACAGAACCATGTTAAAATATTTGTGTAATTTTTGAACTATGTAATAAATTTTAGAAAACAATCAAATCACTGCACAAGATTAAAAAAAAATTAGTCAATAATCATGCTAATAATATTTAAATACATATTTAGGTAGATATTCTAAGCCAAAATCAGGATTAATGATGTAAATCCAGTTTTCATTTAGAGAATCTATTTCCTGTTATGACTGTAAAAAAACATGGCCTCAAAACAAAATGATATATATCCATAAATCAGTTATTTTTGGCACCTAAACCCATCCTAATACAAAGGTAAGACTATTTTCTTGAAAAGTATTCCTTGAAATCCCAAATTTCAGTCTCTAAAGTCTTTGAAAGTCAGTTTAAGAGGAAATGAACTACCCTTAGGAAAAATGTTATGGGTATTACCCATAGTGTTATCCATAATAATGGTAATTCATTAGGTCATTTATGGTTTATATTTACATAACCCATAGTGTTACCCATAACCAATAGTTATGGTTAAAACTTACATGTTATAACAATGATTTACTCATAATTTAACATAAGTAGATGTTATGGGCTAAGCATTTGTAGGTTATTGGCAAATTATGTGTCCCAATAACATACACATAAATTCCAAATAACCTACACATAACTTGCACATTACCAATACATAATGGCATAACGTAAAACCATTATTTACCCATTATTACCCATTATAAGTCATTACCAAAAACTTAGGTTGGATACGGCATCAATAACCCTTAAGTTATGGGTACTTGGGGGCTATGGGTAACAATATGGGTAGTCATGTGAAACATATGGGTTACCCATAACATTTTTCCTAAGGGATTAAGAGACGCAGAAGTAAAAAGTATGGTGGTACTCCATCATTATGAAACAAGACATTACTTGCAAAATGTCACCACCTGGCATTTATTACAAACACCAATCACTGAATGCCAAAAACCAACCACCAAACATCATTCACAAAAATGTTGGACATTATAACATGTCATCACTTGTGGTGGTGACATAACAAGTACAATGATTAGAGGTGTCACACCGACCCGAAGTCGACCTAAATCTCGGGAAATATGAGACTAACACATTTTCCATAATCCTCAATACAAAAGTAGGTGGTGGTAAAACTTATTAAAAATAGTGGATGGTGGCACTTTGGGGTCTAGATAAGTTTAAGTTTTCTAAAAAATATTAGCCACTCTGAAAAATTATTAGCCACAATATTTCCTTATATTTTCACAAAAAAACATATTTTACAGATTATGTAGATTGTATTCTTGATAGTCTTTTCTGATAATCATTATTACTGATACTTTTCAATCAGTCTGTCAATCTCAGCTTCAGAATCTGAAAAATCGTCATCTAAACCACTCCAGTCTGGCCGGAAAGACCTCAATTAATTTTGAAATATTAAGTTCGACATACAGACAGATTGAATGTATCAGAAAAACGAACGAAACGGGTTTGCGAATATGAGTTAACGTTAAATTTTCATTGACTCGAAAATAAGTTTTGGCGTCTCAATTGATTCAGCAAAAAACTGAATGCAACAGGTCTTGTGAAGGTGCCTCGTGTTAAATTTCCATTGAAACAAAAATAATTGTGGCGTCTCATGGGTGAAATTACAAAAATTACGAAATTTGAAAACGAAGAATCCCCGATAATTTATCTGTTTCTCGGTAGGTTCTGTACAAAGTTCTTCGCCACCTTTGCGAATATTTAGATCAAGATCTTTGCCAGGTGCTAAAAATATTCGCAATGGGCGAATGGCGACAGCTCATCTAGACCTCTGTTCATCAGCCAACCTGATTAAAGGAAACGAATGTAGATAGAGATAGACTGATGAATTGGGAGATTGTTAACATACCTGAGGCTGATTCAGAGGCAGAAGAACCCTATCATACTGCTGCCTGAGTCTCCGTGGAACTGCTATTTGGAATGTTTGCTGCTCTGTATTAGGTAGTAGTCCTCTGTGACCACACAAATCCTCCTGCAATACAAAACTGGGTTAACATCAACCATTGACAGAATTCAACTAAGACAAATCCCTTGCACCATTTTTTACTTGAAGATATATGCAGAACCTAAATGTACATAATTTTTGTTCATTTTTCATATTTTTGTAAAATTACTTGGACTAATTTGATATTTTGTGTTGTAAACATTGAAAAAGGAAACAGAAGAAAAAAGAGCTTATTTTTTGCAAAACCAATTTCATACTATTTGAATTTTGGGGAAATATATGTTATAGATTATGAGAAGGATTGGGTATAAGTGTTCATTGGGCTGGGGAAATTACAAATCTGGGACCAAGAAAAGGTGTTCAGATTGAGAGATATTCTGATTTGAACGATGTTCAAGTTTCAAATATATAAGTTTCACTGTAGAAAACACAAACCTCTTCTCTCTTAAGCTGTTCATGCATTTCTCTCATATCTGTGTCTGCCCTGCCATGTACAGACCTGCCATGGATGTAGTAACCAAACTGGGAGTTCTCCATGATGAAGACACTCACATTACTCATAGAGCAGAGATCCACGTACTGGCGGACTTTGTCCTCGATGAATCTTTCGTAGATTGCTGTGTAGAAAATCCATTGGACTAATGCTGAAATGCATTGAAAACAATGGCTTTAGGGCCTGCGTAAATATCTTATAAAAGGTTATGTAACAAAGGATTAGACATCATTAGTGAATGAATTGCCCTTGAAATATAGTTTTTTCTATCATGAATTAAGTCATGTACTAAGAGATGGCATAAAAGATGTCAACAGTGAATGTTAAACACAAATAACGTCTAAAGAAGTGATGTAACAAAATCATAAAAGAACTAAACCATGTCAATTTTTTAAAATGAATGATGAGACTTTCAGATAGAACACCCCTTACCTATGACTAGATATACAGTAACTGCTATGGCAAAGCGACATATTCTACTGTGTGATGCCACATATGCTGTTTCACTGACTGTTATTGAGCTCCAGGGGTCCCGTGTTGCAAAATTCTCGAATCCTGAAAAACAATAAAACTTGTTCATAAAAAGATGACAGGTATCCTTATTTCGCCTTACAGAAAGATGTAAAGCCTATTGGACAGATACATTTTTTTTATCTTTCCATGAAGTAACATTTCTTTTAATTTTTCACAGATCTGTAATTCTGTATCAATATTAATAGCTGTCCAAACTGACAGGTGTAAATAGTGTAGTTTCTAAACAAAAAATATTATTAACAATACCGGGGATGCACATTTTTACAAAAAACAAAACAAAACATTTTTACAACTCAAAGCACTGACATCCTGGTTATAACAATCAACATAAAAATTTGACAATTTGTTACAGAGGGTACAAAAAAATTGAGGTCGTAACAATATGTCAACACTTCCTGAAAATGACATAGACAACTATGTTCCCTGCTGGCTTCTGCTATATTACACTTAATTTTTACCAAATTGATGAATATTTCTTATAGCTTTTCATATACTGCACTTATTCATGAACTGCACTTATATCATATACTGGTATGTACTGTTCTGATTCATGTTCTTTATGTATAAATGAACTATACATGTACTAAACTTTATACATATACAGTACTTATATTTAACACATACTGCACTTACATGCGTACAGCAGTAATACATGTATAGCACTTATATACATACAGCAGAAAAACATGTATGGCACTTATATGCATACAGTACTAAAACATGTATGGCACTTATATACATACAGTACTAAAATATGTATGGCATTTATATACATATAGTACTAAAGCATGTATGGCACTAATATATACATATACAATACTAAAACATGTATGGCACTTACGAGGGTTGATCATAAAGTTCTCATAATATCTCTCTAATTTCTTTATTTTTCAATATATTCTAATGAAACTTTCACAGAATGTGCAGCATAGAATGTCTTATTAATTCAGCAAAAATATTTAGTAAAACAGAAATATTAAATAAGAAATTGTTGCCATAGTAACGTGAAATCAAGGCACCCGGGGCAAATAAAAGTAATTGAGAGAATGGCTCTAATTAACCATGTTAACACACATAATAAACTCTCATAAATTACCAAACACGTTAAAATGTTAACTTGAATATATTGTTAAATGCTTTTACTATTAAAAATTGATCATGGGGATTGTGTGATGTCATAGGGGATGCTTCCATGCTTCATTAGATGTGATACCAGAGTCTGAGACTCAAAGCTAATGATCAGAAATGACTGAGTAAGAGATTGCAATAGATGCAGAGATCTTCAGAAAAATAAAATTCATACTGACAAAATGTTATGTTAAGTTTGTAAGATCCTTTGGTCAGACTAAACATGATCTAAAACAAATATATTGCTAAGATATCAAGTAAATTATACCCTGTGTGTGGCCTGAACATGTTAAAAATGAACTAAAGGGGCAAAATCAATTTTCCTCGGAATATTTGACAAAACAGTCATAAGGTCTAACAGTTACTTCTAATGAAGCATAATAATTACCATCCATTATGAGATCATACAATTCACATAACCATTATAATAGTTCACAACAGTCAGGAGCACATATTATTTGACAATTTAATGTGTTTGATAGCTTATTTGACAACTTATTGTGTATTTAAACATGGTTAATGCGGGCTATTCTAGCTAGTTTTTTTATTTGCCCCTGGTGCCTTGATTTCAAGTTACTATGGCAACGTTTACTTATCTAATGTTTCTGTTATTCTAAATATTTTTTGCTGGATTAATAAAACATTTCATGCTGCACATTCTGTGAAAATTTCATAAGAAAATATTGAAAAATAAAGAAATTAGAGAGATATTATGAGAACTTTATGATCAACCCTCGTATATACATATAGCACTAAAACATGTATAGCACTTATATACATATAGTACTAAAACATGTATGGCACTTATATATATACAGTACTAAAACATGTATGGCACTTATATACATACAGTACTAAAATATGTATGGCATTTATATACATATAGTACTAAAGCATGTATGGCACTTATATATACGTATTACATACCTAGCGAAGCATTTGTATGGAAGTCAATGGGAAAGTTAGCGAGCTATATCCACCGATATTGCCCGATTACCCCGATATAGCCCGCTTACCTCGTTTTGATATTAGATTTCTTTAATAACCATGATAATATCATGACGTCACGTCATTGATACAAAGTAACCATGGGAACAAAGGCATGTAATACATCAGTTATGTCACTATGACGTGAAATATGCCTTCGTTCTTGCCCAAATATAGAGCCTCCCAAGGTCGGCCTATATTGGGAGAACTCAGGCATATTTCACGTCATAGTGACATAACCTCTAAATATACAATACTAAAACATGTAGGGCACTTATATACATATAGCACTAAAACATGTATAGCACTTATATACATATAGTACTAAAACATGTATGGCACTTATATACATACAGTACTAAAACATGTATGGCACTTATATACATATAGTACTAAAGCATGTATGGCACTAATACATATATTATTATATTATTATGAGCTTTATTATACTTGTATCCCACATTTGGGCAAAGTGTACAGCTTAAACAGAAAAAATGAAAAAGCTTAACTAATTATCTATATAGTATATTAACTAATCAAAGGGTGCTTGATCATTGCAAGATTTTATTGGATGCATTTCGTGTTTTTTTCTCTCTCGATAAAAATATTAGATATATATTTTGCTAGTATATTTAATATTATTCCCTCTGAATTAAATAGAAACATTAATTTATGTTCCACGTTATTCATGTTTTCTAAATTTTGACAGTGTTTTTTTATTTTATCCATGTAACTTGACCGAACATCTTTTAACTTATTGCATTCTAATAGGTAATGACATTCTGAACCGGTTTTCTTGTTACACATTAAACATTTTCTTTCTTCAATAGGGGTAATTGGTTTTGTGTAACGACCTGTTTCGATTTCTAATTTATGTGCGCTAATTCTTAGCTTTGTCAAGTTATTTCTGTCTATTTCATTTTTGATTAAATCCAAGTAGGGTTCCTTGTTCCATTTTGCTTTTATTATCTTATAAAACCTCAATTTACCATTATTTGATTTTATTTTGGTTTCCCAAAATTGTATGTATCTATTTTCCAGTAATTTCTTAATTTCTCTTGGTTTTAAGTTTAAATAGTTTGGTGGAGTACCATTGTAAATATATTTAAGTACATCATTGATGTGCGTGAGCCATGATTGTTTATTCATATCTGTCAGTTGTTTATTTACCTCAAGGGCTTATATACAATACTAAAACATGTATGGCACTTATATACATATAGCACTAAAACATGTATAGCACTTATATACATATAGTACTAAAACATGTATGGCACTTATACACATACAGTATTAAAACATGTATGGCACTTACATACATACAGTTCAAAAACATGTATGGCACTTATATTCATACAGCACTAATACATGTTCTCACCTATAACATTGAGAAAGAGGACTGAACATAGAATCTGGAATATTTCATTCAATTTCCTCTCTGTTTGGAGCTCATTCCATTCATTAGCTACAAAATATGTCCGCCAGATGGACACGGGAGCTTCTTTGTCCTTCTTGCTTGGCTCAGTTGACGTGACAATCTTCCCCCTTGGCCGTTCCCAGTCCATGAAGAAAATGTCAACTGTCACCTTCATGAAAAACATTTACAAAGTATTGACATTTTTAGACATTAACATGCAAAATGTCACCACCTGCTATTTGTTACAGATGCTGAATGCCGAACACCAACCGGCAAAGACCATTCACAAAAAGGTTGGGGTCTATAATTACATGAAAATATCAAATCTATAAAAGGTCTGTATATGTCTATTAAAAATGTATTAAAAATATTTCAAAAGTACATTGTTCTTTAAAGGGGTAAGTTTACTAAAATGGACCAAATCCACCAGGCTTATCATCAACCACTTAAGGTTTAAACCAATAATTTTCTACATTGAAAGAAAACCACTAAGTCTGATATAAAGGTGTTTTAACCTGACATTGAGTTGTTTTACCGGACAAAGTGTTTTTACCTGACATATGAAAGTGTTCTTATCTGACATGTTAAGGTGTCCTTACCTGACAAATGACAAGATGGATCATTTCTATGACTTTCAGCACCAAAGCTATGGAGAGATACACAATGAACCATTGTTCCTGCCAGGGCTTTGGAAGTACAAGATACACTATGTTCTGCCTCTGAAAAACAAAGTCACACAAAAGTTCAGTCATGGAAAGTTTTAAATATGGTATTTATCCTGAGGGAAAATTTGAAATGTACATAAATGATGTAAAATGTAGTAACCACATTCAAAATAAAAATCAATACCGTAAAATCATTGCGTGTTAAAAATAATCTAAAAATGTAGTGACCACCTTTAAAATAAAAAAATTAATACCTTAAAGGCCCCATGTAAAGTTTAAACCACTTTGGCTTATATTGTAGTCTTACCCAATGTTATCAAAGTGTGATATGTTAAACTTTTTTTTTAAATTTCAAAAAGTGGTTTTTCATAGACTTTTTGTTCCAAAATTTGTGAATTTATTTAAAACTAACTTTTAGAGGTCACTCATATCTTCTAATTAGCCACAATTATACCAATGTATAGCATTTATCCTCCCATGTTTTTTGCCGAAAAAATTAAGAAAATCGGTTGATAAACAAGCGAGAAATGAACTTATCAGTGCATGAAAATGGTTCTGAGAAAAATGCATTTCAAAATTTTAGTTCTCATAGAAACCAATGGTACAATGATATCTATAAAACATAATTTATTCTTCCTTTTAACCTGGTTAGACAATCAACATTGGTTTTTTATGAAAGTCTAGCATATTTAGAAAACATTCAGTCTCCGAGCCTTTCGTCCAGTGCCATCCGTACCTCCTGTGCCTTACCTCATGCAGATCTTTAAATTCCCGCGAAATTTACCCTTCTAAATATTTTGACCTGCTTCAAAGAATATATTTCTTTGCGTTTGCTACTGATTTTATTCGTTATATTTTATAAAATGTTTATTTCTAATGTAGTAAGAATTCATTCATAAGAAAATATTTAGTAATTCGTAACAATTTTTTTCAAAAAGTTTTTGTTACCTTAGTGACATCACTAATGTTTCAAAATATTTTTGATAAGCTAAAACATTGAAGTGGCCCATTAAATATGACATTTTATTATTGAAATAGTGTGTCTTTTGTTCAATCTTTGCATTGGTGATAAAAAGATAATCTTTTTTGAAATGCATTAAGAAATATTTGATGATTAAGAAATTTCAAATTTTTTGTTAAAAAATCTCTAAAATCACTTTTTAAGTCCTGACAAATAGTAAATGAATGATAAAAAAATATTTTCAAACTTTAGACGGGGACTTTAAATCATTAAGATATAAAATCACTAGTTTTCCTCAAATAAAGTACCCATGCACTTTGGGGAGTTTTAGATCAGATATGGCAAGGAATATTCTAAAACTGAAACAATTTTTGTTATGATTGCTCGCTTAATCTGATTCTACCTTTAAATTCAGTAGACAGTCTTACCTTAAAGAATATGAGCCACCATGCAGATGCTCCAAACATCACCACAAATAGAACATTTCCAATATTGGCACAGCTGAACAGGAAAAACTTCACTAGCGTCACAAAGTCTATACCCAGTGTGCCAGCTCTTTTACCCCAGCCCCATGCCTGGAATTTTAAGGTTTAATATACACTTGATAATAAATTTTTGTAGTTTACATCTTTATATTTGTGATTTCATGTACAGTAAAACCTGTCTCAATGAACACCTGTTTCTAGTGAACACCTGTCTCTAGTAAACACCCTTCATCCGCACATATTCAACTAACTTTTGTATAAATTACTCTTTCTGTAGCGAACACTGGTGGTCAGTGTGCACAGGTTTTACTGTATATGTTAAGCCTGAAATACTTTTATTACACACTGTCAATCGCATATCATGTTAAAGGGGAGGGGGGATTCAAAAGGTGAGTGGAATCTTTTTAATTCTGGGACATCCCAACAAAAGAATTTCAAATGCTACCAATTAAGTATTTTAAGCTTTCCCATTTCTCCTAAATTTCTCCACCACAGGACTTTTGTCCTGGATACCACAATGGTCATTAAAACTCACTAAAAACTGTAATAAGTATTATCTTGAAACCTTATAATTTCTACCATTTTCTGGAATATTCTTTGACAAAACAGTCTCATTTATTTCATCAAAAATCACCTTTTAATCTATGACCAATTTTAAATAAAAGTTCGCAATTAGTCTGTTATTGTATTCTTTGAAATGGTTTGAAAGGTCATTTGTTCTTAATATGTATTTTTGTTGAGAAATAAAGGAAAGAATTCACCATTTTTAGACAAAAATCAGAATTTAGATTGTCTTAGAGAGTGACCAGATCAGCTTGACCTTCTAAGTTTTACACAAGACATCAATTTCATGCCCAAATATGGAAGGTGCAAAAATAGAGCTGTCAATCAAATCTTAGTAGGTATGAGAGAAAGGAATTCAGGAATTCTATTAGACTTTGCTTTTCTTTAAAAGTTTGGACGATATGAAGTTAATGGAAATACTAAAAATAAATTGTTATTTAAATTACTGCAAACTGATTGAACATTGATTCAAACATTAAGGTTACTGTGACATAATTATTGGTATTTGTAATTTCACTTTTAATAGACAAACAAATCAAAGCTTGACAGCTTACATATTTGACTAATAAATTATGACTTAGGGGAGGCATCAAAAGTTTGATGGATGCAGGCCTGTCAACTTGGGAACACCTAACATGAGTGACTTGGAAATGTTGAACACCTCCCCTCAAAATGTGGACACCTTGGTCCAAATCTGAACACCTTGATCCAAATTTTGAACACCTTGGTTTAAATTTTATTACATCTTGCCAAATTTTCAACACCTCAATTTTTCGCACTCGCTACGCTCGCGTTTCAGACATCCATCAACGGGAGGGGAGGGGGGGGAGGTACGAAAAATTTCGAACGGAATGCGTGACATATACATAATTCGCGTGAAAAGTCCGAACGAAATGCGTACATTTTTTTCCGACGTTCGTATTTTTGCTGTGTAGACGATCTTTTTTAGAAATTTTTCTACAGAAATACTTTTTGCTTGACAATTACCAGGTAAAATGCGTATTTGCATGACATTTTCTGTCACGCAAAAATAACTGGCGTGACTTTAAATTCTTCAGCAAATGCGTGACAAATACGCAAAATGCGGGACAGTTGACAGGCCTGTGGATGTAAACTAAATAAATCTATATACCATGAAAATCAATCACTGACTTTTGAAATTTTTTCCAACGTGAGTCTAATAACATCGATAAAATGAAATAACCGATTCCCAAGCGATCGAAAACGAGAAACCTTTAAGGCACGGTCACACCGCCCGGACGTTGCTGGAGCGTTCCTTGAACGTTGAAAAAATTCATCAACGCTCACCAACGCGTACAAAATGGGGAAAAAAACAAAAACACGGGCGTTGGCTTAGCGGTGCACCGCTGAAGCCGGCGTTGCTTAAGCGGTTGCGAGCGGTAGCTAGCGTTTGTTTAGCGGTAATGCGAGCGTTGGTATAGCGGCGTTCTGCGCATGAGAGCGTTGCCTCGGCGGGGGTATAAATAGCAGCAGCGTTGGTTTAGCAGCATATCGCGTTTGACTACTGGGAAATTATTTCAAGTGGGAAGTGTTTAAGAGTAAAGACCTTTATTGGAATTTGTAACTTTAACAAAAGTCCTTCAAGGATTAAAGAAGACATGTTTTAAATCTAAAGTGCTTCTATTAATGTAATATGACATTAAGAATGAATAACATTACAATTTTCTTTAATAATCTCTCATATCATTTCAAACAAACATATCACAATTTAATCGTTGCATTTCCATTACTTGGAACCGATTTACGTTCAAATTGCTTTAACAATGTCAAATAACATTTACAGCAAAGTAATAATCATGACGCATGACAAATTTTTGCATTGCTGTGCGCGCATCAACTTTTTGTATAATACCATGACGAGTGCAACATTTTACAAGCTGCGCGGAAAATTAACAGATAATTTATTGAATTTCTTGACGTGAAAATACTAGGTATATACTATATTTGAATAAAGGTCTCAGTAAAAGTCTATTTGTATTAACATTTAATGAAAAACAAAAATCGCATAATTCACCTTTTTAAAATCCAAAATCACAAACTTTGAGCGCTTAATTTAGGAATTTACAATGCAAAAAATTGAAATGCCAGACATGAATATATATCAAATGTAAAATGCACAAGTGTCTCCACAGTGTTCTACACAGTGGTGCATTTCTCCACGTATTTATAGCCAAATTCTGGTCCCGCTCCGACACCTCTATACCAACGCCAAAGCAAAGTTCATCGCCACCATGGAACGCTGCGACAACGTCCGACACCGTTCCAACAACCCCATGTACGCTGATAAAACGCTAACAACCGCTCCACTGACGTTTGTGCAACGTTTAATCGCCGCCCGGGCAACGCTGGCGAAGCAGCGGTGGTCCAGCGTTTAAGATTTCTGCGTTGGTCTAGCGGATTCAAGCGTCCACGAACTTGCGTCTAGCGGTGCCAAACTTTGACTGGGCGTTGGTGGAGTGGTGATAAACTTTGCCAGGGCGTAAAATTGTCCCTTTTTCAACGCTCGCAATATTTTGAGCAGCTCAAAACTTTTGGAGCGTTAGGATGGCCACTCGAGAAACATCCGCGTTGGCCGAGCGTTTACAGCGTTGCTTTAACGGATGCCAACTTTTGTTAAACGGTGGTATACGTTTACGAGCGTTGATGATTTTTTTCAACGTTCAAGGAACGCTCCAGCAATGTTTAGGCGGTGTGACCGGGCCTTTAGTTCCAGTTTGAGAATTTGAAAAATTATTTCTAAAAATGATGCAGCTTTTGTTAATTCCTAGCCTTATCTGTGGCTTTTAACAACTATCGATAAAATAGAATCCATTGGAATGATCTTGACAAAGATCAGGTAAAATCTTTATTTTTAAACCATTCCAAGGCATTCTGGGTCAAAATTGCAAAAAATTGAAATGTTGAAAGGACGATTCTCGGTTTGGAGAACAGTCTCCTGGGCTAATAATTTTTTTCATGAAAAATATAGAAATATTACCCAAATTAAACTATGAATATTCAAAAGAGGACATTTAAATCTACAAGATGTAAAGATAACAAATTGGTCTGAAGCAGGGATAATGCTTAAATAGACCGATTCAATATAAATACAAGTCTCGATTTGGGGAAAGAAGTTCATCAGTGTACTGCGCTAATATTTTTTTGCGGAAAATCTAGAAATATTACCCAAATTAAATTATGACTATTCAAAAGAAGACATTCAAATCTTTATTATGTAAAAAAATCAAATTTGTCCGAAGCAGGGATAATGCTCATTTAGATTGATGAACTTCGTTCTCCAAACCGAGAATCGTCCTTTGTCGAATAACATACTGAAATGGCTTTGAACCCCCTCCCCCCTAACTATGCTACCAAAGTTGAAATGGCTATTTAACTCACTGGCATCACATGGCCTCCCCCAGACCAACCAATCAATATAATTGACTAGTTTCCAAATTGGGATGTTTTGCAGTTTGTTTGATTCGCATATTTCAAATAGGTTTGTCAAAAATTTCATAAGCTTCTAGAAATGTTTTGTAAATTAGTACTTTACTACATTATAAAGACATGTATATATACCTGGAATCCTGAGTAAAGAAGAGCGAACACACTCAAAACACCCATCGCTATGGAAACATCAGTGTTGTATTTTGTCAAATCCATTTCATACTCGACATTAAACTTCACCTACAAATTATAGAAACTATGATTCTCAAGCATGTTTAACAGAGAATCACATTCTTGAAAGAGAGGGAGTGGAACTAATACACATTTTCATATTTCTATTTAGCATTTGAAATACAGTTGTTTCATTGCCAGTAGATGGCAATCATGGGCTAATCAGATATTCAAATTCAGTGTTCAAACCTGGATCTATTTCTTGATTTGTAGAGGAAAAATGAAAATATGACAGCTGAAAAAGTCAAGTGAAGAATATTGATTTTCCAAAAAAATGCAGAGAAAGATGAATCAACAATCCAAAATTGCTATATGTGGGAGAGTTGGAAAAACCAAAATGAAATTATTTTTCTTTTTCAACAATTCTTGACCATGATGTCCCTAACATTGAAATCCTACCTCAACTTTAGCTCCCTTGTCATAGTCCTCCAACTTTGCTTCTTCATAATGAACCATTACCAATGGTGGGTAGATCTTTCCCGAACCTAACTCCTCTTGTAGTCGAATGTTGAGAGAGATATTATATGCATAGCGCACTCTTTCTGCTCTCAGTGATGGTGCACCCTCTAAAATTAAAAATATATTAAAACACTGTCAATGAGGTAAATAAATCAATGCAAACGAACTCACGACCCCATGGCTACGACAACACACCTAGATGAGCATGTCCACTGCTCTAGACTAGTCTGACAACTGAGACTCCAATAAATGAACTCTTTATAATTATTATGGTTATAGAAATATTATGCTCCTTGGGAAGCAGTACCTAAATTAATATGAAAAAATGAATCTCTTTGTTTTTTGGTTATTTTTCACTTTATAAATAAATCTAAATTGTACTCAATTTCATTCTCAGTATCAAGCGTTCAATATTGAAGACTTTGTGTGGTTTTGACTCAGAATTAACATTACAAAATATATCAGGAGATACAGTGAAACCTGTAGTGGAACACCTCTAAAAGTGGAACACCTCTGTAAGTTGAACACTTCTCATAGTCCAAAGACCAACTAACTTAATTTTAAGTGAACCTCTATAAGTGGAACACTTGTGTAAGTAGAACACTTAAGAGGTATCAAATGTGTTCCACTTAGACAGGTTTAACTGTACATTTGTTTGTTTATTTGAGATATTTTGAGATACATTTTACTATACCTGAAGCCTGTTTCCGTCCACTGACATTATCAACGAGGAAAAATCTACGCATCAGTTGCCACTTTGTGCCATCATTGTCTATAAAATACAATAATTCAAAAGACTATGGATTACGAACACAATCATTCAACATGCATCGAGTGTAATGTTTCCCCATCTGAAAAATTGCACCATTTCTTAATGCACACGGTGATTTCCTATGCTAATTCCTTTATTCACAAGTTAACAATGATTTGTTATGCAAAGAGGTATAGTTTTTTTGGAAACAGATTTGACAACTGGGAGTTATCATTAAATATTTGAAATACGAATAGAAAAGGGATGGCCAGACAGTGAGTGATCCCATAAGCTCACAATGTCTGCTTAAAAAGCATTGGCTATAAGAATATGTCACCATGGTAATGACATGAAAAACACTTACTCAAATTGGGCCTGTTGTCATTATCATCACGGTAGTTTTGTATTAACACTGGAATAGCATATAGGCGTCTTTTGCCATCCTTCATATAGTCCAAGTCTGACAGGAGTCAAGGAAATCATACTTACTAAATGGTTTCAATAGTATTTTTGTCTATATGCTGAACAAATGAAAACAACATACAACAAGACATTAACATGCAAAATGTCACCACCTGCCATTTATTACAAATGCCAAACACCAACCACAGAACACCACCTGCTGCCCAAAAAATGTTGGAAACTATAACAATATGTCACTATTTGTAGTGGTGCCATAAAAACAATTTTTGAAATGTTTAGTTTTAACATTGAAAATTTGCAAAACTCAATGAAATGATACATACTCAGGTTTTTTGAATATATTCCTGACAAAATGAGTGTTTTATTCAAAATGTTGATAAGGAAATAGCTGCAAAATAGCTGCTTCCTCAAAGCAATATGTGATTTTGGTAATAATAACCAGAAAAAGCCTTCTACCTAGTGAAGTCCATACAACACAATCAAACTTGCCATTTGTTCAATAAAAACTGTGCCTGCTATTTCTGGATAAAGGGACAATGGTGGATGGCACATCAGAGTCATATCAGAAAATTGTGAGTTTAAAATTGATATTACACAAAGCTGAGACTATCAAAAATCATGGCAATTTGGGTTTGGCATTCTCTAGTATTTTGTAAGTACAGGGTGTCCTGAAAGTAAAGATACAAATACCCTAATTTTAAGAGATTTAGGTTTTTTGTTATGAAATTGATAGAGATTGTACTTAGTAGTAGAGAAAAAGCCCTGGAATGTAATTGGTTAAAGGATACATAGATCATAGAAGATCATAGTCTCATAATCCTTGCTGTCCCAGAATGTTTTGATGTCAATGTCACACTGTAAAATAAAACGTAACACACATTTAAGGAATATATCAAAACATAGAAGTGGAGACCTTTTACAATACATACCAATTATCGGGACAATTTTATGATATACCTGGTACAAGTATATTTATATAAGGTAAAACAGAAAAAATTAATTTTGTCACATTTTGACATGTTCCTGGTTTCCCTTTAAAAATCTAATAAAAAAAAACAGGGGCCAATTAACAGAAAATTCCTGAAAGAATTCCTGAAGTCCATTGCGCTGTTACTATGACTACGTTGAATCCATGGTTACAATTGATTCAGGAATTCTTAGCATTACAAAGAATAATGACCTCTGGTTAATTCACTAAACATAGTTGGCAAAAATTGTATTTAAGACTACCTTTTGACTGTAGGTTGTCCCGAATGTATACGCTGCATCCATTTTCTCAGTAGAGTCTTTACATAGCTGTAACATACCACCCGTGACATCACTAATTCCGAGAAATGTCCCGTTGACTGTATACCTAGCAGCTTTTATTTTAAGCTTCGACACGCTGTCTTGTGAGTTGAACTCATAGACTGTTGAGATACTTGTATCGTCTAGAGTTATCTCCGTGTTTGAGTCGAGATAGTACAGCCATGGCATATTGAGTGGCCTAAATAAACAGGGGATATTAACAGAAAAGTAAATAAAATATAAATCATTTCCATGGTAACAACAATAGATTTAGCAATTTTTGTACCAAAATCATTATTCAAGTCAAATACCTTAAACACATATTTAAATTGTTATTTTGTAAACATTTAACAAAGTTTCACTAAGTATGTCACATATTCAGCGGAAAATGTTAAAAAATGTCTTCTCAAGTTGCTCAATTTTTTATTTTGAAAACTTATAGGGTTTGCAGTGATCTCCCCAGGATTTTTTCTCAGGTAGGTGCAAAATTCCCATTGCAAAATTGGTCAAAATATGGCAATTTTTCATGATTTTCTCATTTCCAAGTGGGTGCAAATGGATTTTCAGGTGGGTGCAAGCCTATTTTCAAAATCTCAGGTGGGTGCTGCGCCCACTTGCTTTAATGCTGGGGAGATCAGTGGTTTGGTTTGCAAGTATTAAAGTTTAAATACATGTATTCATATTTCTTTTTTTTTGTATTTTCTTATCTTTCTTGTAAACATGCACCTTAAATTATAAATAAATAAAAAACATGAAGGTTAAGTGAATTGTAAATACACATGCAAGTGCAGTTTCAATTGAAAACGAACCACAGCTATTTGCTGCACAATGATTACTGGTATCACCAAGACCCCATCATACTACTACATGTAGTTTGCTCACAGTATTACCAGCACAAAGGGGAGCATCACTTTCTATTGTGCTTAGCCCCGTTAATACCATTAGTAAGCTTACAGTATGATGGGTTCTACAAGTACATGGTACCTTTGATAATGTGGACCAAGCAGTGACATATTGGAACAAAATATGGGATCAAACAACGAGCAAATAAAATCTTATCTAAACATTACATTAACATTACATTCATATGAAACATCAACTTAAATAATTGCATCATTTAGGAAAAATCAGAATGGTTATTTCAAAATGTCACAAACTATTATATTAGTAACAACATTCAACCTAGTTATCTAATGCCAGCTAGCTAAAGCTTATGTTACATTATTTTATATAGAATATCAAATAAAATTCTATCACATTGGTCAGGTGCAATTTTATTGATTTTAAATAATAACAATTGTAAAATTTATTTAACTTGGATTAAGTTTTGTTGAAGTAATTGAGTGAAAATTTTGTCAGAGGCATCAACAATTGTTTTGGTACAACCATTTTCCATTTTGATATTGCAGAGGTAAAACTAAATGCAATATAATATGTTTTTGTTAAATGATACCTGGGATACTGCCTTTCTTGCCCTCACAAGTATCTCATAGAGGGACAAGTCATTAACAAGTATTATCTAATAGTACAGGCTAGGGACATTCCAGTGAGGCCTCTTTCTATGACATACCCCCGCACCCGGTATAACAAGACGTATGTGGTACCATTTTGTTCGGTATGATGTGAAGTTTTCAGAAACCAATTTTGACATTTTCAAATATGGGTCAGATTCCAGATAATTTGCATAATGTTACATAATTTATTGTTTTCTATGTTTTTATATTTTCAAGGTTTAAAACAGCAATGGTTAGGTTTTAATCAAAGTATAACACCATATAATGGTGGTAATGCTTTCAGAAAAAAATTGATGACAAAATTTTAAATCAATATTAATCATAAATATGTAATTATTATGTAATAATGTTAAAAAATGTGAAATTAGACGTTGCAAGACACTATTTAATGCAATAAACTGGTTAAACTTCACCAAATACAAAAAATGAATAAAAGGATGTGATAGCACAAGTTTATTTCCACAATTTGTAAACATAATTAATATGAGGATATAATATTACGTAATATATACAGACTTATAGATTTTCAGTATCTGTTTGCCATACAGTAACCGTTTTATCAGAGTCACAATGCAGAACTTATGGCCATCCAGATAGGATGGTCTTGCTGAATGCATTAAACAAAAGGTTATGTGTAGCTAGTTTATTTTATACTTTGTTATCCCACCAAACGAAGGGAGGGATATAGAAAAGCCACCCGTCCGTCCGTAAGTATGTTTGGGTGATTACTTAAATACTGATTGACATATTTGATTCAAATTTTATAGGCTTATGCCTTATGGGTGTAGGACCTCTGCTGGAGAAGGAATTATCAGTATGACTGCTCAATTTGAAATGGCCACCATTTTTGTGAAAATACAAAAAATCTCAGTGGTATTGAGAAACCTGCCGATGATGGAAATACGATTAGTATTGGTTTTATAAGTGGATGCTGCAATCGGTAACTTTGATCAAAACGAAGACACCATTGATGGGAAGGGATCAACACATCCTATGGCCATGCTCTTGTATAAACGATCAGAAAATAATAATGATAACAAGGACAGTTCCTACTACAGTACAATCAAATCTGACCTGACGTGGAGACTTGTGAGGCATATGAGACAATCAGAAGGCCGAAAGAAGGCCATTTACAGGATGGTAAAAAAACTTACGCCATTTTCTGATATTTTACACATTTGTACATAATTCAATTTCCTACCAGCCTACTATATTTCATGACCATCAGATTGATAGTCACAATTTTACAGCACTTTAAAGAACATGCCCCAGTGGCCACTATTGTGCTTTCAGCAAACCTGCACATGTACATGTAGTCCAAAATGTCCCTACTTGTTGGGAAACGGCAAAGATAGAGTGTATGAGAATGACCTCAGGACAATTGCAGACCTTAAAAGTGAGATCATTAGTGTCATTCAGGCCATATCTGCTGAAGAATGCATTCGGATCATTGACAGCTGTGCAGGTTCAACTACAGCATGATAATGCCCAAACCTGAAGCATGTTGTTTAAAGTGCTGTTGTATGATAGTGAATGATGTACAAATGTGTGAAATATCAGAGAGTATTTAAAATGACAAAGATATAAGGAAAATGCAGGGTTTTCATTTTGACCACCCTGTACAACAAAGCACAAAAGATTCTATTCAACCATCTCGTGTATAGAATATGACAATGAGTTGGAAATATGCACTTGACAGCAACCCTAGCCTTATTTCCAGGATTGTTGAACTGTATAGTGAAACGAGATGGCAAGTGAAGCATGTTTCTGGCTGATGTTTAAGTCTGCAGAAGATTTTTGTTAAAATCTGTAAGAAAACCAGGTCTATCAGGGAGGTGGTAAAGTCACATTGTCACATCGCCAGCGACTATGCAGAATCTGTTAGAAATCTGTACATTCAACACAAAAACCTCATGAAGAATGCCAACCAAAGGGAGTTTAAAAGGATGAAGATGATGTGCGCAAGATATGTAGTCTTGTAGGCCCAAATTATAGATAGTTTATTAGGAATGGTAAATTAAGGCATTAAGCATGTCTTGATGAGGCAGATACTCTAATGATTTACCATGCAGTACAAAGGTCAAAGACAGCTAAGTAAGAATAAGAGAAATAGTTCGATGCAGTGATGCTGATGTGTTGGTCATGTTTTTGTACTACTACCACACAGTTCTTTACATCGTCACATGAGATATTCATGCACAGCGGCCATGGGTCAAAGCAGCGCTTCAACCCAATTCAAAGAATATGAGAAAACTTGGTGAAAAGTTTTGCAAATCATTATCAGCAGCTCACACCCTTATAGGATGTGACACCACCTGTTCATTTGCTAAAATTGGGGAAAATATTACACAAAATTAATCAAGAACATTGATCACCTCAGCAATTTATGCAAGCTTGGATCAGATGAGCATCTACAATGTGAGAGCCGTGTAGATGACAAGAAGACAATGACATTGGATGACCTATGCTTTATTTTGGCATCCACAACTGACAAGCCTGCATCTGCAATGTTACTAACAAAAGCTGCTTTAAACAACATCTTCTACCAGCACATTCCCAATGTCAGATCTGGAGCAAAGCAAAGCCCAAACTTTGGAAACCAGAAGGCAACGGATGGTACTTTATTGATGGAAGTCTGGTTCCTAAGATGATTTTGAGAGCATCTGCCCCTATTGAATTAAGGGATCTTACCCAAATCTATTGTAAAGATGGATTTCGCACTAATCAGGCTTGTAGATGCCTACTTGCAGGATTATTGTGCATGTCTATCTGTTCCTGTGAGGTGGGTATTTGCCAAAACCCAATGATGGTTGAGGAAAAACCATATCCAGATGTTAAGAATGAAATGTTTGAAATAATCATATCATCATATTATATAATGATTCTATTGAAAGATGTAAGCCCTTATATGTAAAAAATTGATATTTATCATGTTTAAAATGATCATAACAGTTACCTGATTTTTATATGCATGAATATTTGGATAAGTATATATGATTAAATGTTTAATGATATTATCATTGTGTCTTAATACACCATTCACGTACTGTTATTTGCTGCTACATATGCATGACATATATTGTTTACAATGAGATTAAGTCTTTTTTATAAAGGTTTGTACTCATAATAAGATATTATTGCTTGAATTGGTTTAGCACATGAGGTTTATATCATGTAGAACAAAAATTCTGTTATCTTAACGACGAAAACAATTCAAATTGTAATTTTACTCATAAAACAATGGAAATTATGTAATAGTTACATAATTCTAAGTCCAAAGTATTTTTGATAATTATCAAAACTTATTTCAAAGTATATACACAATTAATATTTGCTTAGCTCATGATTTCTTTTCATTATTTCCTTTAAAAATGCTTTACAAAAAATGCTATGTCATAATAATAGATTACATAACATTATGTCATATTTATCGAATCTGACCCATTTTTCAATCTGTCAAAATTGGTTTTTGTAATGTTCTCAACAAGACGAACAATTTGATACCCATGACGACTTGTTATACTGGGTGCGGGGGTCAAGTTGATATTTGGCTCATAGGTAGCCTGCACTATAAAGGGACCAGTCATTCTCAAATATTTACGAGAGGAACCAGTCATTCAGAATTTTTCTCTGAAAGGACCAGTCACTTTCAAATTTTCTATTGAGGGACTAAAAATATTCAAAAGAGAGACTGGTCATCTTATACTATATGAGTGCTTTTGGTTAAAATCTTATAACAAACATTAGAGTGTCAAAAAGTCATGTTAACAGTATGGTAATACATGGGATGTAATACCATGCAAACCAAGCTTTCAAGTACTAATATCACAACTTGTTTTACAGTTAGATTTTTATGTTATTATCCACTCATGATCGATAAACAGGTACACCTCATCATGCCAAAGCACATTATAACAGAAAGGCACTTAATTATCCAATGCATTAAACCACTCACTGGTGCAACCAGGATTTCTCATGGAGATTTAATTGTTGCAAAAATCTTTATTAAAGAGGCAAAAAATATTTAAAGTATACTTCCAGGTAGATTTCAACTACATGAGGTAAAAATTTCAACAAAGATGCAAAAACGAACTTTAATGTTTTTAATCAAGCAAATTCCAACAGGAAGACATAAACACCAGTGTGGTAAACATAATTTGGGCATTTTTAGAATTCTGAACAAAATTGTTCAAAAATAAGTGGCAGAATTCAAGGAAAAGGGACAGACTGGCAACAGCCATGGATATATCTTTATTGAATAATACCTTTCAATACAATGGGCTCAGGCACAATGAGTATACCCCTGTTTAATCAATGCATTGACTTACACAGACTCTGAATATGTTGAGTAAAAGTTACAAGCATCTACCCTAGTTGTATCTATGTTTACACGTGTGTACATGGTCAGAACACACATGTTTGAGAGAGCTTGACATGCTGTGAGGTTACTATAGGGGACCTGTAATGTTGCAAGATGTACTGCCATTAGAATTTTAATAGGGGGGCCGGGGGGGGGGGGGGTGTTTTGTCAACAACAGCAAATTGTCAACAGTTATTTGCGTTGATGAGGGGGTATCAGGAGGGGGTATCGGAAATGGACCCGGGATTTTAACTTATTAAAGTACTCGGACATGTGCATGTTTCATAGGAATTTCGACTTGAAAATGGTCACAAATTCCTCAAAATAACAGGTGATATTTGGAAAAAAAAAGTCATGAAAATCTCCTGTTATGGAATGCTTGGACTATGGTGAATAGTGAGAGTATGAACAACCATTGATGTTTGGACATGTGGGAGGGGTTGGGTCAGGTGTTGTTATACTATACTACATAAATCTAAATTAAATGCTTGAAAATTCAGATTTCAGATTTCAAATCAACATGATTATCCACATTTTTTATCATAATCAATTAACAATAAAAAAAATATCCATAATTATTCAATTCTTTCAAAATAAATATAAGCATTGACATATTTGGGTTTTGAAAAATAATTATGGGGCAAAAAATGTACATGAACGTGTTGGTTTGAAACTGAAATATAATGAGTGGACCAGCCAAATATGCAATTTATTTAAAGAGATACTCAGGTTATACGAGGGGTGATCCAAAAGTCTTGGACTCCCTGCTCTAATTTTGTTGGTTTTTGAGAAAATTACTTTAAACTTTCCAATAATAAAGACCAACAACCTAACTACTTTGTGTATTAATTTCATGGAGAAACGATATATTTTATGTAGTTTTCTAGATAGTTTTTAATGTAGGGACCCTGCCACCCGGAACGGTATTCGCACATGGCAACTTTCAGCCTTAAATGTTGCCGCCATTTCACCTGTTTCGCAAGTCTTGACCACTATCTTTCTTTGAATTTTGAATGTTAAACCATGTATCTGGTATTCTGGTATCATTTTGCTGCAAGATTGCTACTGAAATGCAGAACATGACAGAAATCAAAGTGGAACAAAGAATACTACAAGATATTTTCGCTATTATTGACCTCGAGCAGCTACCATATGCACGATACAGCCTAGATATATGGCTCCGTGAGATTTTCTTCCTTTTCTCCAATTTGAAAGGAGAGTTGAAAGAAAAAGATTTTACTCATTGGATGAGGTTTAGAGTGGCACTCCAGCAGCATTTGTATCACATAAGCAATGGCGGTTTCATAAATGTCTTCATTCATTGGTAAAGCGGTTTAAAAAATGTGTTCAAATTCGTGGAAAATATGTTGAAAAGTAGGTCTTAATATGTGAAGATGATGATGGCAGATGACACTCAGATTGAAAATCGGAAATTCTCTCATATCATGAATGGTATGTTAGGTTGAGCACCTGCACCTAAAGTATTTGCCATTTTATAACAGTTGTGACGTGATTTGCTATATCTAAATACCGTTCCGGGTGGTAGGGACCTGGTATCAAAAAATATTTAGAAAAGTAGCTAAAATATATTATTTCTGTTGAAACTTATACACAGAGTTGTTTAGATGTTGACCTTTATTATCTGAAAGTTTCATGTAATCATATTAGAAAATAGCAAAGTTAGAGTGGGCCGTCCAAGACTTTTGGATCACCCCTCGTAAGTTAGGCAACTGACCTAAAGTACAAGTGAAATACAGTGCACATGTAAATACAATGTAAAACCTAATGCTTAATCATGTGATCCATATCAAATTTAAATTTTCAAACTAAACATTTCAAAATTCTTTCAAAACAATAACAAGTTGCAAACAAAATTGATTGTAGGTTAATGATCCGTCGTTAAAAAAATGCAACAAAAATACCTGAGTGTCTCTTTAACTGTAATCTATTTACATGCAAACTAATAATAAGCAAGCTTATGAGTAAAAGCAAGCTTATATCAACAACATTAGTTAAAACAAGCTATAAACATGTAATTGCATAATTGTCTAGTAACATTGAAAGCTGCATAAACTATAAACTAATATGAATACATGTAATAAGCATTTCTCCCAAAAAATTTGTTATTTTACATTCTGAATGTACATTTTAGGGAATATGCATAATTATTGTACCTGGGCTGTCGAAAAGAAAGTAAAAATGGAGAATTATATGCATTGGCAAAATCATATAAGTATAATATTCATGAATATATTATATATAACTTTTATTGATATATTGTATCATTACATGATTACATTAGTTAAATCGCCATGAAAAAGTAATCAAAATTACATATATAGACTTTAATTTTAATTTTTGTCCACATGCATATAATTTCACCATAAACACAAAAGCATGCTATGGTAATCACCATAACAAGATCATGCCATAACCAACATGAGTTTGCTATAAGCATTAGCATGGCATCACCATGGCAACATGACCATGTTATCACCATAACAATACTTAACAATATATGCATGATATCCCCATGACAACATGAGCATATTGTAAACATCAAAAACATACTATTTCATATCTCAGCAAACACTAACATGCAATCTACATTTAAATAATTTACAGGGTGTCCCTAAAGTCTCTTTATACTTTACAGACTTTGTATTGAAATTGTAAAGAGACATTACGGACACCCAGTATTAATAACAAAAAAACTATAAAATGCACAACATAATCATAACAGGAAGCTAAGCATTAAGCTGTGGGGACTGCCTTCACCAATCTACATATAGGTGCTCCCGAACACCCACCATTCTTCCGGGCGACTGCTTGTCCCTGTCAAGAGACCAAGATACAGAGAGCAAGCATCTTGGTTGGTACTCTTTCCTTCGTTACCACGGTAATAATCCAAGATTACGCACATGTTACCTAAGATTTGACAGGCAGTAAGGTTTGCATAGTCCGGCTGAAATTTTTAAATAAGAACTCTTGTATTAATTTGATGTGAACAAAATAGGCTAAAATGACAAATGAAGAATTAGGAATATTAGTAAGGAATGTGAAAAGCAGGACTATGTTCTGTAAAGAAAACATTATAAAGTTATTAATGCAATTTAATTATGTACACAAAATACAGATTTAGAATATAGGAAAAACACATTTAGAATGTTTGAAAAACACAATGGCATTACATGTAATGTAGTTGTTTTAACTGTCTCATTCAGTTTAATATTACTAAGATATTGCAAGATATTTTTTCCTCAGAAAATAAAATCAGGATAGAAAGGGCAAGATTGACAAAATTTTTGAAACTATTTCTTCATACATTTTACAATCTCTATTTCGTACTTCATGAATTTCTTATAATATGTCTCTAATTTCTTTATTTCTAATTCTTGATACATTCAAATGAAATTTTCACAGAATGTGCAGCCTGAAAGGATTAAATTAATCGATAGACTCATTTGTCTTACCCCGCACATCCCAACAACAGCTTTAATATTCTGGAAGAACCAATCAGAGGATATCTCTGTGCCATCCTGGAAACACAAAAACATGCAATTCGGATTATCTGAATCTACTATTGTAGTTTGTATTGTTATAAGGTTAACATTGAGACTGTCTTCGAAAACTAATATTGTGATATCCACCTCTTGCAAGTGAGAGCTCACAAGAACATTGATTAGTCAATATATATTGCAGGGGTTTCATTAGCAGCATGCAACAGGCAATTTTCACCAGTAGTTTTCACAAAATCGCCTGTTGTTTTTTAGGGATTTTTCAACTTTTCCATGTTAAATTTATGATTTCCATTAATTTTGCCTGTTGTGAGAGATTCTAGTGAAACCCCTGTACTGTGTCTCTGTTGATTGTAAATCTACAGTTCATTTCAAGGAAATCAAAGTCAAAGGTCCCCTAAATATCAGTCCTTAATAATATGTCAGTAATTTGTACTTGTATGTACTTCCATGGTTACTGAAATGGTTTTTAACTGGTGAATTCAACGGGAATGTGAAGGATCCCCAGTTAAGTAATGGTTTTTGAAGGGGCTTGCAATTATGTAATGTTTAAAAATCAACACTGCGGTGTCTAGGGATTTTTTCAAAATCTGTTTTAATTTCGGCATTTAATATAAAGCTTACAATTGACAGTTAATTGATGTTTTTTAACTAAAATGTTTTTACATGAAAATGAAACACCTTAACTTATGAGAATGAAGATGGGAAAAATTATGAGACCAATATTTCATAAGTAAAACTTACATTATATTTGACAGTGTAGAGACCCCCTGCATTTTCTATAATATCTTCTTCCTGTTTGAAACACAATCCTCCAGTCTGTAAGAAAAAAAACTTTAAATGTGCATCTCCATTTATACAAACAAAGTATATAATATACCAATGTACTATTTCAGAGAAACATGATAATATGATAATATTTAATACTGTCGAGACAAATTGAGACTCTCATTTTTATATTTTACATTTTCTGTTTTTTCTGAATGCCGATGAATGACCAACATTTGAGTAGTCTGATGTATAGCTGGAAATTTCAAAATCATCAAATCAAAAATGTTAACGGCAAAATGAGTTTACTTAAATGAGAATTTTGAAATGACACAACTATTGCCCTGACATTTTACAGATAAAAAAAAATGTTGCTGATTTTTTATAATTTCAATAACAGCGTATACATGTATATCTTACACTTTGAGCATCTGGACATTGACAGGAACTCTGTGAGGGAAGTACAGAGAGTACCTGGTTGCACCTAACGCACCTGGATCCAAAAATACACAGGTGTCATTTAATATCATACAGTTTTTAAAATAAACTGGTTATTTATTTTTGTTGCAGAAAATAAAAATAATACAATTTTACATTAGTATAAATACAGGGGTAACTGCATATGTGATCAGGGAATTATTTTAACCAAGTTGAGAAAAATTCAGGGGAAAACTATTAACTTTCTCACCTGGAGTTCCCATTACTTGGCTTGGTGTTTGCAGTGCATGCTACACAGGTTCTGGCATTGTTACCCTGGGAATTCTGGTTCCAAGTACCATCTTGGAGTCTCTCCACTACAACATAACAAGGTTACCATGGTGAGCATAGTGGTTACCATGGTTACCATAGAGAGAAACATGGAATTTCAAGAACTTTAAAATGACAAGTTTTACAATTTGTTTTTCAAAATATTTTCAGAATTCTTTTTCAGATTGAAATGGATTTAAAAAAAAAGATTGTAGTTTATTATTCTCTTGATGATTATCAAAATGTTTTGAAATATCAGCTGTGAAAACGTCATCCTGTGACAACATTGTTCCTTAAGCCTAAATTTGCCTTATTATTTGGATTTGCCTGTTTATTCCTAGATCTCGACTACACTCCTGCTTACAAAATGAACAGAAAATAGCATTGCCTTATACTAAATTAAATTATGAATAACAAGGGGCACTACATTGATTTCTAATCAAAAAGTTATCAAGGATTACTAAATGCATGTATATACATGTAATAATCTTACAAGGAAGGGACGCAACATGTCTTATTTGGAGTTAAACCTCCCTACCAAAAAAAATTTCTAGAGTATATTCCAATAGCCACTTAACAATAATCACTCACCACAAGCTATTGTTTTGAACCCATTTGTTAAAAATCAAATGCTGTTGTCATGGTTACCTGCTACTGCCGTATCAACACATGGTTGACAATCCTCTGATGTGACGTCATAAAGCGTACCAGCGCCACATGCTACACATGCCCAACCGTTAGCTGACGTAACCTAATGTTAATACACCAACACCAAACATGCAATATTATAGTAGAAGCCTAATGGAGTGCTTTTGCAGGAGTGAGCCATTGGTAGAGCTCTTTAGAATGTGGTTGTGGGACGGGTGGATACGATTTAGTTGTTTAAGCGAAACATTTTGAGGTTTTAACGATAAATAGGGACAATTTTGACTTTCGCATCAATGGGATTTTTCTATTTTGAGACTTTAAAAGTGTAAATATAACATGTGCATCAATGAATATTCCTAAGAATCTCAAATTTATGGGAGAAAAAATTTTTTTGCAGGGGCTTTCAAGGTCTGGATATGGGCTGGGACAACCAGGGAAACTAGCTAAATGGGGATAATTATGTACATATTATACGCAGTTGCACTAATTGTATGGGGTTGCATTAGCATAACATACATAAACAGGTAAACAAGTGTTTCAATGTTATAAGTCACTCTACTCAAACAAGAAAAAATGATTCCCAGTCCACATTAAGATAAACTTTTAAAAAATTGTCTTATTTTAGCCCATTAAGGACAAATTAATTCTGATTTTCATACTGTTACACATTGAGTTGAATAGAGTGACTTAAACAGCAGTAAACATGCAACATTCTGCCACCAGATGGAGCTGCAACACCTTAATTATGCCTACGCTGAAACGAAGCCATGCATCAGCGAGCATTATCTAACACCTTTGCATTCCTTATTAATACGCAAATTAGCTAACAGAACAGCATTTGTTAATTTTACAATATTTTTTGATCTAACTTTGGAAAATCAAGACAGCCAATAGAGAGATTTTGCTTTATGTGAAAACATAACTTTTATGTTTATTTTTTTTAGCTATAGGTATAGCATAAGTGACATTTCATGGCTAAAACAGATAACTTCATGAATCAATTTCAATAAAGTTTTGACAGGATATCAGTGAATATACTTATAACATGTTTTAAACTGGAATAATTGTTGCAAATATAAACATCTTCATTTGCACGAATGTCTATGAAAACTGTAAAATTATCAAGTGCTATTAACAGTCAACAAATCACAACTAACCCCAACACCAAAATACAGGGTGACACAAAATATTATTTGAAAATTCGAGTGTTACATTGTAGTGCCACCCTATATAAGGAAGTTGGAGTTAGTTTTGACTCAGACTATATGAACAGAATTAACATGGACGGAAAAATTTGATGCTTAGCGTTCCATTTTTCTACCTGTAAGTAAGTTGCTTGAACAAGCGGGACAGTTGGCTGGGTCAGTAATGGTTCCTGTATCACAAGAGGTACATTCCCAACCACTCTCAGCTACAAACTAAATAACATAATTGGTCACATGTAGTAGGTTTTAATTGGTTCCTGTATCACAAGAGGTACATTCCCAACCACTCTCAGCTACAAACTAAATAACATAATTGGTCACATGTAGTAGGTTTTAATTGGTTCCTGTATCACAAGAGGTAGATTCCCAAACCACTCTCAGCTACAAACTTAACAAGATAATTGGTCACATGACAATTTGCAGGGCCAGTAGTTACTTAGTATCACAAGAGGTAAATTCCCAGGCATCTAAACTGCAAACTAGGCATCATAACATATCAGATGACATGTTTTTTAATTGTGATTGGTTCCAAAAGTACACCATGAGGCGTATTCGTCCTCTCAGCTACAAAAATTTCAGTTCTTATTATACTTGGCTCAATCTCAAACATTAAGATACAACAGGAAAATAAAAGCAATACATGTACTTTACAGTTAGTCACATTTCACAGTACTCTCAGATAAATATAATTTTCTTTACAAATTTGATTTTAATGACTTGTGAGATCATTAGATAATATTTAATAAATAATAATTTTCATCAGAATTTCTGACAACATGAAAAATGAATGATCAGGGGACATTATCGAAAAATCATTTTTACATGGAAACAGTAACAAAATTCTCAAAACAAGGCAATTTAAAAAAAAACTACATCTACAGTCATACAAATTACTTGTTTTTTGTAATAATATTCTTACTGTGTTTGGTGGGCAGGCTTGGCACTGGATGTCTTTTCCACCAAAATCTTGTGTCAAATAGTAGCCTTTCTGACATACACACTTCAGACCTGCAAGTTTTAAGATTATACAACATTAAATAGATATCAATCCTAATTATGATAATTTAAATGTGAAACTAACATTGATAAAAAATCTCACCATTCAATGGGCTCACACGGTGAAAAAGTTAATATCTCGAAAGTACATTTTAGGCAAAAGGAGGAGTCTGGATTGACAGTGTAAATTACCATTCGTTAAGATGAATGGTAGTTTTCATTTGTACGAAAGATTTTAATGGATGGATGAATAGAAAATAAAGTAAGTGGGCCATACCATGCACTCTTGAGCCAAAAATTATTAATACAGTAATTATGGGCTGGGAAATTCATGTATGTATGTATGTATGTATGATTGAATTCAAATAAATATGTTGTCCAGAAGTTGTGTAAAAACAGAGTAAATGTAGGAAAAACTAAATCTATAAAGTATTTTGATTGTGTACATGAGAGAAGGAATGAGTGTGCAACTGCCCTGAACTAAATGCTAGGAGATTGATCGACAAATAATAGAAGGATTTTTTCTATTTTATTTTTTTATCTGAGAATAATGTTTTCAATGCTCTGTTTGGCTGAGTTTCACAGTGTAACCTAGGGCTTTAGAGGACCTATCACATAGTGGTAAGTAGATACGGAAATAGTTTCCAAACTTGATGGCTGGCATTTTGAAATACTGGCCGATTTATAGATTGAAGTAGAGTCAGTACGTCTATTTCCAAACACCCCCATCAAAAAATGTAGTTAGCTTGGCTGTACTGCACATCTATGCTATGATTCTATATATATTATGTGTATTATCCACTGTAGAATGCATTTGCAGAAAAAATTACGAAAAATTGTAAAAAATATCTGGGTTATTCCATTTTTACTACAAGGTATTTTAGGGGGGTAATTCCGAACATGAGTTTTTTTGGGGGGTAAATCCGAACACTTGCATGGGGGTAATTCCAAACACTTAACTTAAACTTAATTGTTTTAATTATTAGATTGATGGTATATCATTATATGATACCCTTAACTCATGATACTGGATCCTGTCACCCCTGCATATCAAGAAACCCAAATTTAAATTATTTATTACTGACATCTATTTATTTAGACGCACAGAGTTTGTGGGGGTAATTCCAAACACTAGCATGGGGGTAATTCCGAACACCTAAATCATCATAATTGATTATTTTATTGTAAGATTGTCGGTATACATCATTATATTGTATCTTTCAGGCTATAAATATTATGTAGAGGTAGTAGAGGTACTATTATTCAATTCAATGATCTGCTTGCCATTATTTGGAACCCGTTCGTGTTTACCCCCCTGTTTGGATTTGGACGTATTGACTCTATATATTTCTTTTTTCATGGCCTGGCTGCGTCGGTGGAATTTGAAAAATTTGAGTTACCTAAAGATCGGGAGTCTTACTTACTCTTTAAAGGTTAGAAGCCACATTTCAAAGTAACCATATCATCTTTAAAACATTTAGGCTGGTGTTAGAATTGATTGAGGACCGAAAGATATTGGACTGAAATGAAACTGTCATCATATACATCATCATGGGATTATTTGGAACTAAATAATGTTTTGTCATATCACAGAATGTAGGGCAAGACTTCTATGGTATTTAGGAGATTATCTTGGTACTGGATAAGGTAACAAGGTAAAGCTCACCATCAGCACTGGCTGTTTGAAAAGCAACCTCCTGGGAGCAGCTCTCACATTTCATCTGAGATATATCGTAATATTCATGAGGGTCATCGGTAGCACCTTTTTTGCAGTCAGTCGGTGTCTGATATGGGATATGATTTGCAGCAAATAATCCTTTAAATATGCCAAATGAGACAAAAATATAAACAAAAAAATATTTTTTGAAAAAATTTGCCGCCATATTGTTTGGACTGTGACACGCATCAAAATTATTTTTGAACTAAGTTATTTAATTATTTTTCCTTCAAATCGAAATTAAAAGGATCATCTTATGGATATGCCAAGTGCAAATTGAAACTGTGATATTTGAATTAGTTTTATGAATTTAATAAGTCTTTGAACGTAGTATCAAAGGTCTGCTTATTGTTTGGGTGGTGCTCGTCAGAATAGGGACCTGTCATTCAGCGCTGCAGGAATATTTCCAAAACATGACTGACCACACAATTTTGCACAGCGGTTATCACCATGCAACTCTTCGTTCGTGGCAATCGATTGGCACTGAGATTACAGCTGACAACCTAATGTTTCCAATTTTCATAACGTAAGTCTGATTTATTCGGAAGCACCGCAGTAGTCCACACGAATATGTTCGTGAAAATAAAGTCAAAGAGAAAATAAAATGAGGCTTATTTTAGGGACATGTCATTATTATCTCCCTATTTACTCCCTATTACAAAACATGTATGAACTGGCACTCCATATATGTCCCTTTAATTAATTGAGCAATACGTTTACAAAAGTCATTTTATAGCATGAAGTATCTTATCTTGTGAATAATAGTGGAAGTGGTGGTGTCAGCTAAAAGTGTGAGTGCAGATCCTCGACCTGGGTATCATTTTGATTGGTTTATCCATACTTATGCTAAAACCCATGGCCAGGGGTCAAACAGTATCTAGATCTCGAGGGTTAGAGACTACATGACGAGGGGTAGGCAGGCCCGTAGCCAGGATTTGCCAAGGGGGGGTTCAGTTTTCAAAAATTTCCAGGGGGGGTTCACATTTGACAATATTGGCCCAAATATGGCTAAAATCACTAGAGAAGTGATCAAAATGGTGAAAAACTGCATGATTTTGAAAGAATTTTTGGCCAGGGGGGGTTCACCGGAATCCTGCGAACCCCCCCCCCCTGGCTACGGGCCTGGGGAGGGGTCATGGTGTAACAACCCCAGGCCTGTCAACTGTCCCGCAATTTGCGTATTTGTCACGCATTCGCTGAAGAATTTGAAGTCACGCCAGTTATTTTTGCGTGACAGAAAATGTCACGCAAATACGCATTTTACCTGGTAATTGTCAAGCAAAAATATTTCTGTAGAAAAATTTCTAAAAAAGGTCGTCTACACAGCAAAAATACGAACGCCGGAAAAAAATGTACGCATTTCGTTTGGACTTTTCACGCGAATTACGTATATGTCACGCATTCCGTTCGAAAATTTTCGTACCTACCCCCCCCCCCGTTGATGGATGTTTGAAACGCGAGGTTAGCGAGCGCGAAAAATTTGAGGTGTTCAAAATTTGGCAAGATGTAATAAAATTAAAACCAAGGTGTTCAAAATTTGGATCAAGGTGTCCAGATTTGGACCAAGGTGTCCACATTTTGAGGGGAGGTGTTCAACATTTCCAAGTCACTCATGTTAGGTGTTCCCAAGTTGACAGGCCTGCAACCCTGAATGACAACTTGCTACAACAGCTCAGCTGTGGTGAGCCATTATGGCTTGGCTCAGCGGTAGATGAAGAAACTTTGGAGCAGAAGGTCCTGGGTTCGATTCCGACACAGGGTATTGAATTTAGCACACTCCCTTTCTTGTCTGAATCTGGCTTGTTGCATCACCAGCTCCCCGAAGGTGCCCTCAGGTTGCAACAATACTGTATCTAGATCTTTGAAGTTGGAGACTGCATATAGGTGAAAGATGAGGGGATGTCTGGTTGAGAGGTTCTTCCTTTGGGACACATTGGGATTTAACGTTGATTTGGCTACTTTAATGAGGCATTACTTGACCTCATCAAAACCAACCAATCATATTAGTATTTTTTAAATATTGGTTTATGTTTTTCAGAGATACCCCTGATGCTGTTGAAGAGATCTCCAGTCTCCCTGGGCAAGCACGCTATGGTGTCAACTCTGTCATAGATGCCCTTCGACCTGCTGTCAACAATGGCCTTACCTCTGTCTTATTATTTGGTGTCCCTTCAAAACTTCCAAAGGTATGCTTTATTTCCAATCTGGGGGTTTCAATGCCCTTGCCAAAAATTCTTTCAAAATCAAGCAGTTTTTCATCACTCTGGGCATTTTTTGGCCAAAATTATCCAATTTGAAACTCTCTGGGTACTTTCCAAAACTGAGATCCTCCTTGAAAAAAGCTGGCTACCTGTGAGAGAATCAATGTTAGAGTCTACAGGTGTCTTATAGTTGGTGTCTTATGCAATTTAAGACTACAGTTTTACAGAAATTTGAAATGCTGGTATAACCAAATGTTGATTAATATAATGAGCGATGTAAGATTTTAAAATTGCATGTTGCTTACATGTAGCAAGTTATCCCATTTTTTTGCTAATTTAATGTCATCTTATGGTTAAAATAATATGTAATTATAACATGTAAATGAAAGGTTACACTTCAAAGTCTAATACGCAGCTGTTTTGGCTAAGGCCAGCTCAAAAGTATTCAGTTTGCTTGAATTATTTCAATGTTGCCTCAAATATAATTAAATGCTTTCAGGTTTTTATGTCACCACGACAAGTGGTAATTGTAATAGTCTCCAACTTTTTCATGGACAGTGTTCGGTGGTTGGTGTTTGGCATTTGGCAGTTTGCGTCTGTAACAAATGGCAGTTAATGGCATTTTGGATGTTAATGCCTTGTTTACATTTTAATTTGAAAAATTCAGGAATGAAAAAGAGGATAACTCAAACCTGAGGGACCAGTTCCATGTTGGGGATTGAGGAATCAGAAATTCAGAAAAATTTCAGAAAATAAAGCATAAATAATACATATTTTTGTTCATATGTTTTGGACAGAAATATCACTCAGTCAAGACATAAATATAAAATATAAAATCAAAATCACAAAATCAAAACAAAATATTAACATAAAATATTCTTCAACAGGAACTTTAAGTAATGGGATGAATTGACATTGGATGTTATATACTTGTTTATTTCATAAACTACTGTATCATGTATTTCATTAAAATCCATGTATATTGGATTAAGGGATTTACAACTATGAATGTTTAAACATTAATTCTGTCTACTAAAAGATAACAATTTGATTATTAAAGACTAATTAGTTCAAAGTCTTTTAATTCAATCAAAACAACATGTTCATGTATTGGGATCTGATATTGTTAATTAATGTTTAAGAATCTTGTCTTTGAGTGCTAGACAGAGCGATAGAGGTCATCATTACAGTTAAACTTGTGTCATTTGAACACATCTCTAAAATCTTTACGAGTACACTGTATATACATATTCCAAATCTAAAATCAGAATCAAGTTTTCACTTCTGTTTTTTTTTGGTTTTAATATTTTGTAATATTATAGGAAATTAATAGCCACTGTATTTTGTGACTGGTATCATGGGCTTTCAATTAGAGTTGAAAGCCCATGCTGGTATTCAGTTGGAATTTGGCATCTGTGACAAATGGTTACAGTTTTTTAATTGCATCCAGGTGACATTTTGTCATGTATATGCCTTGTTTATTTGTAATATATAAATACTAATGCCATACAGTACAGGTCTTGCCGAAGATCTTATAATTATGCATCGCGGCGCAGAACTTCGGTGCATCCATCGGTGCATCGATGCACCCATTTCGGTGCATCGATCGGCGCGTTCGATGCACCGATTGATGCACCGATCGTTGCAACGGGGAATTCTGTCGGTGCATCGAATGTTGCGCCGATCGGCACAATAACTTGGGACAGGGTAAATTACAATGGGGACAGATTATTTTTTAGTCTGATATCTGTAGGCTTACATTTAGATTGTACGTCAAACGTATAAGCCTAAATACTTTATAATCCTACTCTTCGAACACAGTATTTTAATTAGACATTGACTTTTAACAAATATAAGCCAGCTCAAAATACTGTATATTTGAAATGTTTCGTACAATTTTCGTTTGTTATATATAACCCGACATTGCGTCGATCGGCACATATTTTCACTGATCAAAAGGGGCAATAAGGACTGTAGAGAGAAAATTCAATTTTTTTTATTTTTTCTGAGCTATCAGATCAATATTTGGCTTAATACCTTCTTTGACATACCTATTTTCATAAAATGTATGTATAAACTATCAATTTCAGCATTAAGAAGTGTAAATTCAATTCAAAGCTTCTATAAAGGGAGTCCCACTTATAGATTTTTAAGATCCACCATGTTTCAAGAGGAATATCAGCTGAAATAATGTTCATCCAGAGGATTTCTTTGTAGATAATGAAAATATATGTTATTCTTGATGAAATATCCAAACCTAAATATATTTTGACACTTGTCGATGATCGTTGAATGGCCCCCCTGCACTATTTGTAGCACCTTTAATAAATAACGTCTTTATAAAATACAATTTCTGACAACGGGGGCAAATCACGATTGAGACAGATATATATATTTATTAAACGAGTGGGACATATTTATGATCATATTGAAATCAGGAGTATTGTGTTCGAACGCGGTAGTTAATGTCAATGAACGAATATAAAACACGTTATCTATTTATTAATTGGCGTTGTTAATTTATTATAGTTATAGTGATTTAGTTTATTTGTTTATAATACATTGTTTTAGTGAACTGGATTTTGATTCAGTGGTCGTCTTCGAATGAACATTCATTTGTCATGATAACCACCGAGATGCAATGGTCAACTTTTGCTTTTACGTTTAATTATAATCAACGCCTTCCCTAAATTCCTGTCAGATCATGAATGCCAGACTTCACCAAGTATTTAAATAATATTTTGCGTTTTATCATCTTTCTCAAAAGCTAAAATTCATGCATATGGTACAACTACTACTTACTAACTTTGGTTTATCATTGTTTTGTTGCAAATATGGGGATGTTTGGGTTGATGTGTTGGGACCTCCCCTTTTCATAATGTAATTATATATTATTCTATTTTGTAGGTTCTCGTGGGTAAGGTACACACAAGAACAATATACGGCCCATCCTAAAGGGGCGCAGACACAACAGTGCCGTTCTTCAAGTTATAGCCGTGGAATTATATAGTTTATGCATCTTGCCTCAAGCGACGTGTTAACCCTAAAAAGGTTTATCCCATATTGAATTTGAGAAACACAGTTGCTGGACAAGTGCAAACTATGAAATAACAATAATATAACAATAGATAATGTTTGGCATGTATTGTGTTTCCATTTCATTGTTAAATTAGTTGAAAGTATATAAGGGTTATGTACTGGGAGGATTTGGATATAGGTTTATCCAGAGGGAGATATGCATATCTACCTGAGGTACCGTAGGGACCGAAGGTAGATGTGCATATCTCACGAGGGATGAACCCCATATCCAAACCGACCGTACATAACTGCTTTATCCCATACCAAGTAGAGTTTTCTAATTTTCTTTCAATTTTTTTTTATTTTTTCAATATTTTTCACATTTTTCAATTTTTTTCAATTTTTTCAATTCTTTTTTCTATTTTTTTCAATTTTTTCTTTTTTTTCAATTTTCGAAGCGGGGAGATATGGCGGGAGATAGTGGAGGTTCAGGATATGGAAACCTCAATATCAGGATACGGGATATATCTTACCAACTTATCTCCCTAAAACTCTACTTGGCATAGGATAAATGTAGTTATTCACCGGGAGGGTTTTGATATGGAGAATATCATATGATATTAATATCCCCCGAGGGAACGCAGTGAATGAACTCTTTTGAATGAGAGAAAATAAAAAATTGAAAATTTTTGAAAAAATATCTTTTTTGAAAAATGAAAATTTTTGAGTAAATACCCGGGTTGATATCCATATCATCCCTCTAATCCCAATATCATCCATATCCCAAATATGTGATTTATCACTTACAATTAAATACTGAGATATTGCTCCGACCATGGTATAAAAAGAATAACTTATCATAAGCAGATTTCTTTTCAGGGTATTCAATGGCGATCTAGTTTCCTCGGATATTCTCAAATAAGCAGTTATACCTGTTTGCATGTTTTACTTTTGATTTGATTTGATTGTTTAAATTAGATGAAGTCTTTCAAAAGCGGTCAGATGTCACCAGTGTCTGGAGGGTTGAGATTTGATTTAGGAATTAAATTAGAATAAGATTTTTTACTATCTGTTTTGTTTTCAACATTATATAACGTTGATCTTATTGATTTATTCTCTAAACCATTTTCCGTTTTGTCGCATGAGTTAACTTGATTTCAGCTAAAATAGATTATGCGTTGCAACCATTTAAAGATTATCCTTCTGTTGCTTGTAACCATATTAATTAATGAGCATATGTTTAGGGGTGCATGCCGTTTTATTTTGCCATCTACATTTTATATTATCATCTCTTATCTTGATATGTTGAGAATTCTTCAGAGACAACTCCCAGACACTATCAGGGACCGACTACACACTTTAAAGTATAGTGCAGCGGCCTGCTTTTGCCAAGGGGATTTTTATTGGATAACTATGAAATTAAACTGTTAAAGGCATCTTTTCATATGGGTGACAAATTGCAAGCAAAATCAGATCAGATTATTTTGCCATCTACATTTTATATTGTTATCTGTCTTGATAAGTTGAGAATTCTTCAAAGATATCTCCGAGAAACTAACATGGACTGGCTACATTATTCATAACCTGCTTTTGCCGGGGGGTCAGGGGTCAGGCCCGTCAGAAACCTGTCTTCAAGGGGTGCGGTTTACCCCCCCCCCCTTCCGGGGGCCTGATCCGTTTGTATTTCCCTACCCACTTTGGCAATCAGAAATTATCTACTCCACCCCTTCCCCTTTATCATATGAACTATGCATGTAGATTCCTCATGACTTGAAATGCTGAACTATGCTTTATGTGCATTGCAACAATATCAAAATCAGAATTACGCCTTGTTTTCTAGTAACATTCAACAAAAACAAACGTTCAACAAATTGAGACGTCTGATTGCTTATTCCAGGGACCGTTTCCCGTCATTACATTGCAATGGTATTGTGGGCAGAGGAAATCGAGTCTGCATTGATCCAATTAATATGTGATTATAGATTAAAGGAAGTGAGAGGAAAAGGTTTTATCCTCATTATAAACAAATGCAAGAACCTTGAAGTATATTAAACCTTAATAATCTAGGAACTGTTTGGAAGGGGGGGGGGGGGTCTTATTTCTATGTCACTCCACCACAAGTAGACACATTTTGTCTCCAACTTTTTTTGTGAACGATCGATGTTTGGCGGTCGGTGTTCGACGTTCTGTAACAAAATGTAATCACACAGGCAGATTAATAGTACTTTGAGTAATGATTACTATAGGTTATACCTAGGATGATTCTAGGTTATACATGTAATGTCATCATGGGAATCAAGGAAACTTGCATGGCATTGCAAACTTTTAACCCATAATAAGCCTACATTTGATAGCAGTTTGATTTTTCATCGAACATAATTGCAATCAACTTCCATGATATTTGGAAAGAGCAAACATTTTGAAAGCAAATGTAATCAAGTTTCGGGATTTCTGATAAAGTTCAATCAAGCTTTGACGAAATTAACTTCATTTCCCCATTGTATCCTCAGAAAATTAAACTAATTGGAGGCATTATACTGTTTTTTAATTTCAAATTGATATCATATTACGCCTTTAATGTAGGCTACGGGGCGTAATTAAAATGTATTCTAAGATCCCGGCCTGCACTTTATTGTGTTCAGTACTATGCATAGGCGTAGTCAGGGGAGATGGGTGCGACCCCGATAACCAATAAAAATAGAACCATTGGATAGAAGAAAAGAGCTTTAAAATGCTATATATTGAAAGCGTCCAGCTCACTTTTGAAGGCAGTTGCATCAAAATTTTTGTAAAATTCAAAACAAATTGTTTTTGCCTTGCTCATGCCACGATCGCCCCCCCCCCCGGGCAATCTGACTGAAAGCTGGCTACGCCCCCGCTGTGTATTAAAATAACTCACGACTTTTTGCTGGGAAGAGCGTCTGAGGACCAATATGACGCTAGCTTTTCCTACTTTTAATTTGAAAATTGAGAAATTGAATCATTATCTGGTCAGAGAGTGTTATGTATCGTACATGTACAATGTCCAGTTGGAAGTGATAATTTTAAATTTTCCCTTAGAATCAATTTGAAGCAAGTTAAAAAAGTTTGATCTAATCGTGAGAACTTGTATATTTTATGGTCAATTTGAAGCGACTTGCAAAAACTTTGGAAGCGGTTGCCCCCCCCCCCCGCCTAAAAAACTTTCAAACCATGCAATTTTTCACCATTCTGATCACTTTTCGCATGATTTTTTTGCCAAAACTGTCAAAAGTTACTCTCCTTGGCAATATTTCATGTATTTGCAGACGATGAAGAAAAAAGATTATACTTGTTTATAAAACAATTTTAAGAAATCAAAATATCCTGTTTGTGCCGGAAAGAGATCGCCGTGCTCCAGACAGTTAATTAGTACTATTTGTTTTGTATAGTTACTGATCAAAGATGTCAAATTGTGGGAATCGTGAATAATGACCGTTCAGACCAGTTTTTAAAATACCAACCGCCGAACTCCGAACACAAACCATCGAACACCGTCCACAAAAAGTTGGAGACGATAACAATATGTCATCTGTCTCACCGATTCTGATGGTGACACAATAATAACCCTTACATCCCCCATAGATATACGAGCAGTCTTATATCCACTATCCAGTCTCATAATAATCAGAGGCATATTAATAATATTTCATTTGACTTTATATGCCTCTGTTATAATCATGGACGTCTATCCCCGTCAGATTATTCCCGGTCAATCATCATGCTACACGCAGGTAGCCATGCACAAAGATATGAAAAAATAACTGACACAAGAAATGAAAACAAGAATTTTGGAAAGCAACTATAAGTCAAAATTTAAAAAAAATTTAACAACAAAGCAACACAATTAACCGTTGAAAACGTCATTGATTAAAGAAGCACAAAAGCAATTAGCTTAATTAAAATAATCTGTTTTATCTATAATCGTGCTGTAATAATCTACATGTATTTTTGCAAGAGTTTGTCCTCGTCTGCTAAGGTGATAATAGGGTTAAAACACACGTTTCTTAAAAAAACTTGTACGTGAACGTGGTTCTTAAGATAATTATTTCTCCCATGTGTACTGTTTACTTGGCCGATTGAGTATAAAGGCATACGGAAAACAGTCCCAAGTGAATATGAGAGTGGAACAGTATTCCCCGGCCGGGAACGAAATAGTACACGTTCGGGTACAAGTTCTTTTAAAAACGTGTAACTCAACCTTCTTATAAAACAAAGCAAAGGAAATGTAAAGCTAGCGTTAATTCGTGGAATTAACAGCCCTTACTATTTTTTGAATATTAAGACTCTCTTTCAAGCATTCTAGTGCATGGCTCTGATCAATCAGAATGCTAGCTCTAATAAATTAAAAATGTATAAACTTAAATACAGTACGCAAATGCCTAAAGATTAATTATTCGAAATGAATGTAGACCTCGTCATAAAAAATTGTCATCATCACCGTCAACAGACCTACACCAACTATTTATGAATACCTGGAAGATAAATTAAACCCTTAATTATTAACTTTTAAGTGTTAACAATAGAACAAGAAACTGCATGCATAACATGAAGTATAAACACTCGGGTATAAACGCATTGTTGGGCGCCGAGGAAGCATTCGCCAATTCAACTGACGGCTGACAGATTCACCAACTAGGTTAATTCATGTCCAACTCATTTAATTATGAATAGTGACTGGAGATTCCTTCATTTATGTTTAAAATGGCTTAAGAACTAGGTTAAACTACCAGCCGTCATCTGGCAGGTGAATTCAACTCAGTACCTGCCACTAAAAGTAATTGAGTTTGCCACTGATAAAAAGTAGGTTAAACCACCAGCCGGCAGCTGAATACTCATGAATGCAACCTTAGTTCTGAATTATTTCGGAACTGTTTCTGCTGAATCCCAGGATGCGTTTTACACCTTTCCCAAGTGAAGACCCCCCGCTTTTCTCTACGTTGTGTCCTCCTCGCATGTGTCCATGCATAACCCCAAAATTCGTATGTCCGTCATGTTTGCAGCATTCCATTCATTGAAAGAACCTGTAAAAAAGAATATAATATTTAGCAGATGAGATATCAAATGGTGACTGAGACATCAAATGTTTTAACCACGGGCCTGGGTTAAATATTGTACTTGCTTAAATTATATAAGATGGGCATGCAGGCTCAATTAATGTGGGACGGGCATTTTAAAATCAATAACAAAAAGTAGCTGTCACAGTGTCACATTCGCTATATGGGCTCACCGTTTGCCACTGAGTGGTTATTTGGGGCATACATTTTTAAATTTTTTTTTAATTTGGTGTTACTGGATATATCTAGATATTTGTTTTGCCCAACGTGTATACATGCCGTGTCCCGCTGTCTGCCCAAGCAGAGTATTGACACGTTGTCGAACGATGAGCCCTTATGTCATGAGTGTGATACCTGTAGCTCCATAATAATAATGGTTTGCTTTTAAATGTTCAAAATACTCAAACATGTCTAAAATGAAAATATCATGAAAACCAGAGGCCTTGTTTTAAATACTGAACATTGTATTAACGTCTAATGCTATTTGTAGTATGACACAGGTACTTTGGTATATTCAGGGCTGAAATCAATGTCCCATTGAACAAGAAGGGATTAGGCTATTTCATTATTATGTCGACTTATTAACATAATGTTTGAAGTAAAATAATTCATATTTTCGTATATTTTTGTTTATCTGAAAAGAATATCGAAATGTATCATCGCATTACACAAATGCGTTGCTTGCAAACATAAGTGAACCTTTACATTCGACTGACAGTCTGACAGTTAACTGAAATCTGTGAACGCGTCTTGACCCCCGTTCTTTTCTGCGGCACGTTTTTGAAGTTTGGTTTCAAGAACTATTAATATTAAAATTCATTTATTGGCGTGGGCCTTCTGTATAATTAAATTGTCTTAATATTCTGTCTCTATTGATGCATTACTCGATCCACCGATGCACGTTGCACAATGCACCGAGGAATGCATCGGTCGGCGCATTAAGCTTGCCGATCGATGCATCGATTAAATGCGCCGCGATGCAGCTCAGTGCACCGATGTCGTACCGATCGTTGCACCCATCGATGCATCATTCGATGCACCTTTCGATGCACCGAGGTGAGATCCTCGGCGTGACCTGTACTGTAGCTTCCCAAAATCGTGAGATAAATGCAGCATAAATATTGGGATAAGCAGTATGATGTAGATTTTGTATATCGATTTTGTGAAGCTACAGCCACCATAGGGCAACCGTAGAGCAAATATGACAGAAGCTTTACACTTAGTATTATTTTTCAGGATGCTAAAGGTTCTCACGCTGATAGCCCAGAAACTCCAGTCATACAAGTCATTCCAAAATTGCGAGTAGCTTTTCCAAAACTCCTGATTGCGTGCGACGTCTGCCTATGTCCATATACAGACCATGGGCATTGTGGGTACCTTTTAGAGGATGGAACAATCGACAATGAACCTAGTATTGCACGACTTGCAGAAATAGCACTAGCATATGCAAAAGCAGGTATATTTTGTTTCAATTTTAGACTAGCCTGAATATTTTACTTTCTACAGATAACTGGGCTCAGAACTGGGGATAGAGTGGTTCTAAAGCCTCAGCGAAGTACCGTAACCTTCTTTGTTCGCATAAGCCAAAACGTAAAAATTAGAAAAAATGTCACATAACTTTTCAAAACCTTGATAATAGGAACTGAGTCAACTTGTCAGTTACGGGTATTTTAGTTGTACACGAACTGAGCATGTCAGTGGCGTTTGTAATATCTTCAAATTAAATATTTCCCCAGTTGAAGACATTCAATCTAAGACCATGTATTAATGTATTACCACGGAATGGATCATACATAAGATACATCCCCTGGGACAAACCCAGGGGGGGGGGGACAAATCACATTTTCAATATGAAATGCAGTATAAGAAAATGTCTATACATTTTTATTTCAAAACGCACTAAATATTATCTTGGGTTGCTTAAGTTTTGAAAGTTGTAAACTAATTAATTACGCGTATGTGAGCTATACTAACTTTTTAATCCTAGTATATTCCCTTCGTGGTGTTAGGATTTTAAGTAGGTTAGGAAGTGGTTGACCTTCCTGTTACCCATTGAACTGCCTGTAGAGTGAATGAAGTAAATTTTTATTATATCTAAATGTTAACGTCACATTGTCTATTGTTCCTTACTTTACGTTATAATTGCATTCATGGTACGACGTATAATAGCCCAAACTCGATTTTTAAGATACCTCTTAAGAAAAAGAAATTTTTGTAAAGGTGGTACAGGAAGTGATCTTTTGTAATGACGAAAGTGAGTCGAGCAGTGATGCAGAGGAAGTCTATGTTCATTAGCAAGTGGAGATGATTTTAAAATGCTTACGAATGTGCATGCGAGTGTGTTAACCTTTCCATCTTGTTTTACTTTCTGAACCTCAGCATGAGATTCATAGCCACATTTCAAATTGTTGTAGATTTCAATGAATAGACTAGATGCGAGTAGAAATAATCTTGATTTACGTCATTAAATATTCAAAATTCAGTCAAAGTGATGTCATATTTGAAATCTGCATGTAAAAGTACATCTAGAAATATGGTTTCGAAAATTGTCTATCAACTTTGAAAATTAATTTTTTTTGAAAATGTGACTTCTTGTTCGGGTTGATCCCCATAGACTCCATGTTACAAAATCACAAAAAGTGAATTATCTTTTCTTGTATTGGACAGATAACATTTTCTTTTATTGGACATATTTTAATTTGCATAACTATTAGATACATCAGGGTTATATGAAACTTGAACCACGCAAATAGATGTAATTTGAGTTAAAGGGAACTTTCTACTATACGCGCCATGTTATCTGACCCGAACGAGCCACCTGGTGGTGAATCTGGTAACTACCTACTCGCATCGCGTTAATTCTGATTCAGATGGTGCATCTGAGGAGCATGACACACATGAGTATTTATATAAGAGCACTGGGTTCATCTTAAAGGAAATATGTGAGATATGTTCAAATTTTGGAGAAAAAAATGGGCCCTTAAATCCAAATTTTTGGCCCAAATTTTGAAAATTTAAGGCCAGGGTGCATGTTTTTTGCAATTTTGAAAAGTAAACCACTGAATATTCCAGTTATTCAAACATTCTGAAGAATTATCAACCCTCAATTAATAGTCTAGGTACACGAATGCATCTTTTGTGCAAGAATGAAAGATGTAGATGATGTGTGGAATGAGTTATGATTATCTGAAAATTGCACATGTTCATGAAGTTTCATCAAAGTGCACCCTGCCATGTTTAAACGTAAACCATGATACCATGGTCTATCATGATCGGCAATGATATTACCATCAACTCTGACCATGGTGGCAATGGTGTTTTTTGGTCAGTGTTTGACCATGATATACCATGGTATATCATGTTATACCATGTTTCATGGTATTTCGTGTTCAAAGTTAACCATCAAATACCATGGTATTATCATGGTATTTCATTGCAATGTTCCTGACCATCATTTACTATGATATTACCATGGTATGGTATATCTTGTTTGATGGCATTTCATTGTAAGATGTGACAATCAAATACCATGGTATTTCAATGCTGTGTTCAGTGCGTTTTGAAATTAAAATGTATAGAGGGGCAGCTTATTGTCACGATCGTGTGTTTTCAGATGCATAACAGAATGGAATGGTCTTAATGCCGACACTAGAAATTCTCAATCATTGATCTCCTTTAAAAGGCTTTTGAAATTGACGCATGGCAACTCATTGATTACAACCATGGATATGGAAATTAAAAGGAGTCAAGAGATACCATTAAACAGAATCAGACGTGATTTATTCCTTCGCTCCCAGTTTCATGCTCACAACTTACTACTGTGGATTCGCCTGTTTGTTTATGTGGCGTTGAATCTGAAACGTTGAGACATTTTCTCTTCAGATGTAGTCTTACAAAGCCGACCATGAAAACTTTGTTCGGTGAAGTCCAGCATAATTTCCCAGAAATTAATTTTAAAGTTATGCCCCAACTTGAAAAAATACATACCCCGCTCTATGGTTGCGACATGTTGAGCAAAGCAAAAAACATAGAATTGATAAAACTATTCGCATCTCACCTCGAAACCATTAGTAATCAAAGATAGAATACTATACGGCCTATTGAACAGCCCCTTTTTAGTCACACACATACACATGAAGTGTTTTTATTTTGTATCTTTGATCTATTTATATTATTTATATCATATGTCATTTCAATATATATAAAGACATGGCTAGTAATGCCAGTATGGCACAGCCATTGAAATAAATTTATAAATAAAAAAAATAAAAAAATGCTGTGTTCCTGACCATCATTTACCATGGTATTACCATTGTATCATGGTTGATGGTATTTCATTATAAGATGTGACAATCAAATACCATGGTCATACCATGGTATCTCATTGCCATGTTCCTGACCATCATTTACCATGGTATTACCATTGTATCATGGTTGATGGTATTTTATTGTAGATGTGACAATCAAATGCCATGGTCATACCATGGTATCTCATTGCCATGTTCCTGACCATCATTTACCATGGTATTACCATTGTATCATGGTTGATGGTATTTTATTGTAGATGTGACAATCAAATGCCATGGTCATACCATGGTATCTCATTGCCATGTTCCTGACCATCATTTACCATGGTATTACCATTGTATCATGGTTGATGGTATTTTATTGTAGATGTGACAATCAAATGCCATGGTCATACCATGATATTTCATTACAGTAATGTACGTGAACATCATTAATCATGGTATTATCATGGTATATTTTTCACAGTATTTCATGGTCAGAGACCATCAAATGCAATGATATCACAATGGAGATTTGGCAGTATTTTTTCAATGGAAAACTCCATGTTAAAAACGCGCTGTTCTCCATGAAATGCAATGGTGCCATTTAACGATCATGATCGGCCATGGTATTACCATGGTATTTCATTGCATTTGATGGCCATATACCATTGTGCACCATGGTCATACCATGGTATAACCATGGTCCATTTCAACATGGTGATCTTAAGGCCCATTTTTGATAATTTGGCCTAAAAAGGCCAAGTAATACTGGGCAACCTTGTATCGAGCTCAGAAATAGCTGTGGAACATTATTTCCATATCCGCAATATAAGGTCACTATTTTTACTAAAATGATCAGTTATATTCCGTGGTTATGTCAACAAGATCATTACGCGGATTACACAATGTTTATGGCATGGTCTGTTTTAAACAGACTGGCAAAAACTATAGCATAAGGTAATAGTTTCTTTATGTTGTATATTTTGGATTCGATCCTATAAGATTCACCAAATCATGAGTTTTCTAGATTCCTTCTTTTCTGAATCTCAAAATATTTTCCTAGGGTTTAAAAGTTAAACTGCTATCCATATAAAACTTGTAGATTTTTTTAGATGGTATATACTTATCTTCTTAATTTGATACTGATTTTTGTATGCACTTTGAAACAACTGATTTTTAAATTATACTATTACAGTAAATTTTTAAATGTTTGGAACTACTTTGAATTTAAAAAATAAGCAATCAAATGACTATATTGCAACAGTATATGGAAAAATGGAAACATATGTAAAGGGTAATATTACTACTTAGATGTAAAGAGTAATATTACTACTGAGATGTAAAAAAGTATCATTTACTTGTGTACTACAACTACTTTCAAAATTAAGCATACAAAAAGATGAAATAAGTTTGAAATACTCCAACTTGCCATACTAAAATGATCAAATATAAAATATGAATCACATGCCTGAGAGATGAAATGATGCATCAAAAGTTTCTCATGAAATTTTTCAGGGGCTGATATAGTGGCTCCCTCTGACATGATGGATGGAAGGGTCGGTGCAATAAAGAAGGCATTGGTGTCTCATGGAATTGGCCACAAGGTGTCTCTGCTAGCCTACAGTGCGAAATTTGCTTCCGGATTTTATGGGCCATTCAGGTATAGTTTCTCTGCCTGGGCACTGAATTTCTATATCATTAATGTGATCATGAATCTGGGTGTTTGACAAAGCACATGCTTCAAATCCTGGTGGTCAGCCCTGGTGACTTGTGTTTATAGTATGGAAGTTGATTACTGTAACAATTTGTAACATATTTGTAACCATTATTATTAACTTATCGTGATACTATGCCCTGTTAATACCTAATTTTAATATTACATGTATACAGGGATACCCTTTGCTAAAAATTGCCCTCTAAATTCTGTTTCCTTAATACTGATAGGCTGTTGAAGAGTTCATAGAAATAAAGAAAATAAGGTATTTGATAAACAGTGGGGGAGGGGGTAAATACCATCCCGTTCCGTCCCTAACTGTACATGCCATTGAGGGAGTTCTCATACATTATAAAGGAGGAGTGGAATATTTGCCATATACCTGATAGCTTTAAAGGGTTACAATTGGACTTGTTTTTGACAAATACCTTTGGAGCCACCAACTCCAAAATGAACATTGTGATCACAAATTGGATGCTTAGGAATAAGGATTCAATTTAGTATAGTCAGTGGGAGTCTACATATTTAAGTATATTGAAATAATGTGTGATTTAAATATTTGATTAAATAATGTTTCTAAATTCATTCAAACTGTAGGCACATACTTGCTCTGTTCTTATACCATGAACTAATTACCCATAAGCTGATTTATCGTATGATCTGTAAAATGAAGCCCTCTGATTGGTCAGTTCTTGTGCTGTACCAATCTGTATTGCTACTGAGATTGTCCGCGTTGATCATCTCCGTCGCAATACAGAAAATATTGGTACAGAGGAGACAATCTCAGTAGCAATACAGAGGATAACACGATAAAAACGTTATTGAATGATTTGAAGTGCAATACAGGATATATTCTGTCTCGATATTCTGTATTGGCACTCGACTTCGTCTCGTTCCAATACGGAATTTCTCGAACAGAATATATCCTGTATTGCACTTCAAATCATTCAATAACTTATAATATTATTTGTTAAACTGTTAAAGCAATTATGGAATAAATAATTTGGTCACGATTGCTCCTTATTGGTAATTTTTAAGTTAACACCCATTTCTTATTGGATAAAAGACACAGACATCGGAATGGTTGAGATTCTTTTATTGATGAAGATACATTTATTTCCTGCTTTTGAGATTTAACATGTACTATTTGTATATAGTCTAATTTATGCTCCTTTTGAACTGTTTCCATCACCACCAGTGCACATAAGCTCAGATCAAGGTGTCTCCAACACAGTGCACCATTATGTCCAAGTTTCCTTATTTACAAAGACATATATCCTACATATAGGCTTTATACAGGGTGTCCCAAAAAAAAGGAAACCAGCAATCGATTGCTTATTTCTCAAATATGAATAATGATAGGAAAATTTCTTAGCTACCATCTGATAGATTATGATGTCCTCTTTCTTATGATACCAAAGTTGTCTATTTTTCTTCACGGATGACTGAGTTATAAGGGATTCTAGTGACCATGTCAGAAATGAGTTTGTACCACTTTCAGCCAAGTCAATTTCACCATCATAACAAAGTGCTAAGTAACAACAAACATCAGGATATCACTCTTTTACTAATTTATTCCAATTGAAATTACACATATCATATTTAACACCCCTTTTAAATCCCAATGTCCATTCAAAGTTGTTTTAACCCCAGTGTCCTTCAACATGACCCCCATTCCTTTCAATGCAAATGTCTTCCCTTGATCTCATCGCACGTACTGCATCCCTGATGATGTCTCTCTGTCCCCTTAGATCATCCACTGCTGAGACAATCCTGGCCCTTAGATCATCAACGTCTCTTGGTGGTGTTGTGAAGACTTTACCCTTGAGATAACCCCTAATGAAGAAGTCGCAGGGTGTCAGGTCTGGGGATCTCGGTGGCCACTCAATCTCGTGGTTCAAGGCAATCACTCTTCTGAAGGCTCCCACTTCTGAGCCACTCACTTACTACGAATACTCTTTGAGTTTGGGTCAGCTGCATGAACTTGCTATGTTGAATGCTTGTTCAGAAATATGTATTTCGAATGGGACATGGTCTTGCATAGCCATTTTAATCCCTCATTGTTCAGCTATTCATGACAGAAAAAGTGGCACAAACCAATTTCTGATATGGTCACTTAAATCTCTTAGAACTCAGTCATCCATGAAGAAAAATAGACAACTTTGGTATCATAAGATAAAGGACATCATAACCTATCAGACGGTAGCTGTGAAAATTTCTTTTTATTATTCATATTTTAGAAATAAGCAATCTATTGCCGGTTTCCTTTTTTTTGGGACACACTGTATATAGATGTCAGTTTCGTAAGGGTTTCTTGCATGGTACATAGGAAGAACTGAGAACCAGCATCTTGCTTTTTGAGCAAGATAAAAGGTATAATGTGTTACAACAGTCAGAAAAGAAGCAAAAATAACAGATTCAAGATGGCTGCCATGTTGCTGGGCAACCATCTTGAAAGTGAGACTAATCAAGCAACCGAAAAGCAGGAAATAAACTGAGTAAATCTATAGTTCAGAAGGCTTCACTAGACATAACAATATCTAGTAAGGTTCACATTTGTATTATATCCCCATTTTCTGCCAAGCATTGACACTCAACATTACATGTACATGCATCAACTATACAGTGGCAAAACTGTTACAAAAGTTCAGCGTATGCAGATTTTCTTTCATCGAAATAAATTCTGAACATTTATAAATCAATATTGCAAAGTAAATGTGATGCCAAATCTAATGTAAAAAAATAAAAAAGATAGCTATAATTTAAAAAAATGAGTGAGAATTTTCAAGAAATTCTGTAAATCACTGTCCGTGTATTCATAGTCCAGGTGATATCTACGCTATTATAGATCTATGTTGTGTTATCTCAGTGTTATCACATAGAGTTTTCTACATGTAATCCTGTGAATTGTCTATAATAGTTAGTTTGTTCATTGTTGGGGTTGTAAGTTTGGTGGTGGTGAGGTGTTTAGGCTTCTTCCTCTTCTTCTTCCTCATCAAATTCACCTTCCTCCTCAGCGGTGGCATCCTGGTACTGTTGGTATTCAGACACCAAGTCGTTCATGTTGGACTCGGCCTCAGTGAACTCCATCTCGTCCATACCCTCACCAGTGTACCAATGCAAGAAAGCCTTACGCCTGAACATAGCAGTGAACTGCTCGGAGATACGCTTGAAGAGCTCCTGGATGGCGGTGCTGTTGCCAATGAATGTGGCGGACATCTTGAGACCACGTGGAGGAATGTCACAGACGGCTGTCTTCACGTTGTTGGGGATCCATTCAACGAAGTAGCTGCTGTTCTTGTTCTGCACATTCAACATCTGCTCGTCAACCTCCTTCATGGACATACGTCCACGGAACATGGCAGCAACGGTAAGGTAACGTCCGTGACGTGGGTCACAGGCAGCCATCATATTCTTGGCATCGAACATCTGTTGGGTCAACTCTGGGACAGTAAGGGCACGGTATTGCTGACTGCCACGAGATGTGAGTGGTGCGAACCCAGGCATGAAGAAATGCAGACGGGGGAATGGTACCATGTTGACAGCCAATTTACGGAGATCAGCATTCAACTGACCAGGGAATCGTAGGCAAGTGGTGACACCAGACATGGTGGCAGAGACGAGATGGTTCAAGTCTCCGTATGTGGGGGTAGTGAGTTTGAGAGTACGGAAGCAGATATCATAAAGTGCTTCATTGTCAATACAGTAGGTCTCATCTGTGTTCTCAACCAGCTGATGTACGGAAAGTGTGGCATTGTATGGCTCGACTACAGTGTCGGATACCTGGAAGAGAAGAAATTAGTTTTAAAATATGCAAAATAATTTGACTTTGTAGGAATGTCGAAACTTATGAGAAGAAAACCAGAATATAAAATTTCATTTAAGATTTATTGAATGACAAGTTATTTGAAGAAACTCACCTTTGGGGATGGTACGACTGAGAATGTGTTCATGATTCTGTCTGGGTATTCCTCACGGATCTTTGAGATGAGGAGTGTTCCCATTCCAGATCCAGTGCCGCCACCTAGTGAGTGAGTCAGCTGGAATCCCTGGAGACAATCACAGCTCTCAGCCTCCTTGCGGACAACATCAAGAACGGAGTCTACCAACTCAGCGCCCTCTGTGTAGTGACCCTTGGCCCAGTTGTTACCAGCTCCACTCTGTCCAAAGACAAAGTTGTCAGGTCTGAAGATCTGTCCGAATGGACCAGAGCGGACGGAATCCATAGTTCCGGGCTCAAGATCGACGAGGACTGCACGTGGTACATATTTGCCTCCTAAAACATTCAAGAAAAGCTCATTAAATTACATATGGGAAAATTTAAAGGGCACTAATACATGTAGCTGCATCCCAACACTCTGAACAGATCTTGTGTTGGAGTTGGGCCATGGATAGAGAAAGCATTTACCATAATGATGTGGTGGTTGTCTGTTATGAGACTGGCGCTAGTGTTGCATGTAATTGGGATTCATGTTTTAAAAAGCATATGATATTATCCCTGACATTTCACTTATCATGAAAAATGAGTCGCATTAGTGTTTCAATTAAGAATGTCCCTATCGTATGATCTCAAAACACATTGCACATAAACATGCATTAGAAAGATAAGTCTCATCAAAACATGAAAAGAAACCCTTTGAACAGTCATTTGAAACATGTTGAAAAGGATACAAAACTTTCTTGTCACGTTAATTCCGCGTGAGTTCTCTCTAAAATTTGAATGAACTATCTCATTTTCTTGCATTTCAACAATATTTCGAGTTTCAACCACATGTTTGTTTCCTATTTTCCTTGTTAATTCCTTTCTTTTTCATTCATTTTTCCATGACACAAGACCAGCATATTTCTCTCTATGGTTATCCTTGGAACCTGACCAGTGTATACAATGGGGAGTTCACTGTTATGACTCGGGGCATGACCTCACATCAATGCAGAACTTCTGATAATGTCCCGGTGGCATTCTATTAATTATGATTGATGTGCTACTTCAGCGGTTCAATAATTTTTTCATCTTTTTAAGGTCCTAAATGATACCAGTCATGAGGGGATGTAAAGATTTTGTGCATTTAATGTTTGTGAAAAACATGTACATTTTGAAGCTGTTTATTCATTGACATGAATGGATTTTCTAAATAATTTGAGTTTAAAGGAAGGATAAGTTATAAAAGAAAGCCCTTTAAAAATCCATACTGTGTGTTTTTGAGTGAGAATAATAAGCACAGTGTTCAGATTTTATTTTCAACATATACCCTCAATTAAACATCAATGCAGAAAAAATTGAACAAAATCAAATCAAAATGTTGTTTATACCTCAGCATGAATATATTCTTCTGAGAGCTATGCCTTTTTTTAATATTACTCGGATACTCAACATGTCTAGCCATAGCATGTTATAGACATGTACTTCTTAATTTTGTTAGTCTAGTGTACCAGCCAGTGCTGTGTGACTCATGAAAGATCGATCAATACCTTTAGTTCTAGGGATTATACTAAGCCAAATTAACCAGGTTATAACTGGTATTCATCTAATTAAATGTATACTCATTGGAATATGGTAGCAGAATTGTGTGGTTTGGTATTCAGCTACATAGTGTACATTAGGTAGATGAACCTCTCTTTTAAAGAAGCAAAATTGAACTAAAACTATTGTATTGAAAATGGTATCACTTCACTTATTGCCAGACACGTTAGGATGGCTTTGCTTGTTTGTTTGTTGGGTTGTTTGTTTTGGTTTGCTTGTTGGGCTGTTTTTGTTTGATGGGGTCATTTGATATACAGTTTACAATATGGCCTCATTTACATGTTCTATTGACTTCAGAAATTTAAGAATCTCAATTGATTTTGAAATCTAGTAAGTTATTGTTAACATGGTATTATACATTACATGCACAGATATTTCATTTATGTCATCCAAAGTTACAAATCTTTAAACAAAATCCTTGAAATCAAACAGAATTGCTGGTTGATAATTTGGCTGAAATAATTTTACATTATTTATGTAGGTAGTATATTCAGCTTTTGCCGAACATGATTTCAAATTCACTTTGAATTACTAAGAATCCGCAACAGAAAAAGTACCCTTAAAAGTACTTTGTTAAAATTAAACAAAAGTAAAAGGATATGCAAATAACAATTGTTTAATGCCTATTGTGTTGTTGATATATCAACAAAATAATTTGTTATAAATAACTGTCACCCGGTTGCTAGGTATTTGAATGGAGTAATATTTACAAAGGATTTAGATTTTGAATTTTTAGAATTGTCAGAGACCTAATTCTTTATCATATTCATGATCAAGCACACTTATGTCTTGAATTTTATTTATGTTTTTTTACAATTAAATAATGGGTTTTATAATTTCTATTGAATCATTATATTTTACTTTATGAAAATAATGTTTAAATACTGTATACTAAGTTAAATTATAACTAATTCATCCTAAATTTCACCTTTGTATTTTGAAATATATTTATTTGAATGACATTGTAACCTTGTTGATATTACATCAAATATTATTGCAGGTAACCATATCTTACTCCAAGATAATTATGCATTTTTGTAAATGTCATTGAACTTTATTTGGAAAGGATGTGTTTTATACCTGTGGCTTCATTGTAGTATACATTGATTCTCTCTAACTGGAGATCGGAGTCGCCATGATAAGTTCCTGTTGGGTCGATACCATGCTCATCTGAGATGACTTCCCAAAACTGAAAATAGACAAGAAATTTGTGTTAGCAACTGAGCATTTGGCAATATGAACCCTCAGATATTGGTATGTTCCCATACCAATCTGTCATATTTCAATATATTCCCATGCCAACCAATATGTATGATGTCCAAAGAGTGACCAAATACCATACTAAATGTAAAACCAATGGGATAAACCTCTTAGAAAATCAAGGATAAATGAAATAATTGAGGTGTATCTTCTTTAAAACTGAATAACGGTCCAAGATTAGCTTCTCATCTAGGTACTCATCTCTCTCATTATGTCTAATATATGTGTAAAACAATAGGATGTTAGAGACTTCATTATTATTACATCCAGGCACTTCTTATATTAATTTGCATAACAGAGAGATGAAGTTAAAGTGAAACAGAAGGGGGGGGGAGACAAGAGACACAACAATGCAAAATGACAATAAAAGTGGAAGGGGGGGGGGGGGGTTGTTTCGACAGTCTAGTTATTTTAATCCACAATGTGTCTACCATCTTATATCATCATTTCCCTTGAGTCTTTCCATCTGAAGTTCAATATAATCAGACAGCTCATTATTATTCTATCATTATTCCAGACAGTTGCTGGATATAACTGCATAAATGTGACTGATCCAGTATCTCAATATTATGCAACAACTCAATATTAACTGACTCCATTTTCAAGCTACACATCTGCCTGAGATATTCATGAAGATTTCTTAAAGGATGAGGTCATTATGTTGAATTATGATAGGAATGACTCAGAATGTGTTATTGCTGTTTATTGATTGTACTGTCATCGTCCCTGGCAACAAGCAATCAGTCACAAGTATTTTTAAAAACCTGATAACAAACCCAAAAAGCCTTGAACACTGAGCCCCTAATTTGTATTCCAGGCTATTTTAGTAGATAGCACAAGCTATTAGACTGTTGACCTATATTTCTTTACCCGCCTAAAGTTCAGCCTGACAAAAGGGTATCTCCTTAGCATAATTTATGCAGAACTTTTACATGGCCTGATCATCAATATTCACCTTGTATTTCGCCCTATAACTCACATTAGTATGTACTAAAATTACCAAGGTTGAACTCTTTAATATCACCTTTAAGTATATGTTGTCAAAAAAGGTTTGCATGATGGTAATAAGTGAATTTTATGTTAAGAAAAGACGTGGCATGAAATGACTCATTATTCATGAAGCCGGTTTGAACATTTCTATTCCTCATCTTTTAAGTCTATTCCTCTGTTTTTCTCTATTATTTACAATGAAATGAAATATACTCACTTTAGCTCCGATTTGGTTTCCACACTGGCCAGCTTGTAAGTGGACGATTTCCCTCATTTTGATAGATTAGTTATGAATGAGCCTGCACGTAATTATGCTGTGGGAATGTTATCTGCTACCTCTGTCTAGTGGCCGTTGCTAAATACACAGTCAGTATTTATAGCACTTGAGTTACTGTGCAATCAAAGACAAACACGCATGCCATCTATTTAACATGTTTGAATAATTCTTGAATATGTTTACTATTTTAACGACTTGTTTGAATATTAAAATCACAGGAACTTGAATAACCTGACATCCATTGGCCAGCTTGGAAGCCAGAACCATGTGCCAACCACAATAGATGTCAGGAGTTGATTTAGGTTACAGATTAAAATGACATTTGATTGTGTTCAAATAATGATATAATATAATATAATATAACAAAATATAATGGCATGTAATATAATCGTATAATATTATATTTAGAGGTTATGTCACTATCGTGGCATATATGACCGAGGTCTCAGTGATATATGGCCCGACCTTGGGAGGGACATTGATCTCTGAGAACCGAGGGCATATGTGCCACGATAGTGACATAAACGATTTATAACATACCTATGATGATGTAGACTGGTCAGAGAGTACCGTTTTCTTATAGAATTGACAAACAAATGGTTTGAAAATGATTGAAATGAGTTTAGAAAAATTGCTCGCGCAGTTTTATATTCGATTGATTGGTTATGACGTCAGCGCCTTGACCAATCAGAAAGTGCGCGGGCTTTTCAAAACTTATATTGGCCCGCTGTCTAGTGTACACTTTGCACTATACATCATCATAGGTATGTTATAAAATATGATATAATATATGATAGATCAAATGCTATTACCATAATTGTTTGATTGTATTCAACATCTTTCTGATTTCAAACCATGGGGAGTAAGTCACCCCCTCTAGTATATTCTATATATTAAAATGTTTTTAAATAGGGAATATAAAAGGGGTTGGGGTAACTTACTCCCTGTGTTTCAAACTAGCAATACAGTAAAACCTGTATAAGTGGAACAGCTTTGATACGTCTAAAAAGTGTTCCACTTGGGAGGTGTTCCAGTTATAGAGGTACATTTAACATTAAGTCATGATCTTGGGACTCTGAAAAGTGTTCCACTTGCAGAGGTGTTCAACTTCTAGAGGTGTTCCACTCATAGAGTTTATTTAACATTAAGTCAGTTGGTCAGCCATTTTGGGACTCTGAAAGTGTTCCACTTCTAGAGGTGTTCCACTTTACAAGTTTAATTGTATCATTATAGAAAGGAACTGATGGAGCTAGGAGAGCTGGAAGACTTAGATATCTTATGATGTAAAATTTGGATATATCAAAAATATAATTATGAAAATATTAAAAAGTAGATGTTATGGTTTCAATTGGAGTTGGAAACAAATGTAACTACTTATCAAGTGAAACAATTCTGTTAGACAGAATGAGCCATGAAAAGGTAACCCAAACAAATGAATCCAGCATGGGTTTTATTTCATATTTGGCACAACTGAACCTTGTTCAATGTTTTTTATTCTGCTATTCATTTATCTATTCTAAATGTGCTCAAAATGCCAAAATATGCCCAACTCACCTGATATGAACCCCCAGACTTTTATCTTTGTGGTTATTTCAAGGATAATGTCTACACTAACAAGCCAGAAGTGCCAGAGAGATGAAACAAGAGATTAGAAAGAAGATGAGAGTCATTTCAAAAGATCTGTGAACATGTAGGCAGAACACTTCACAGATGCATTCAAGTTTGCCTCAGATAGGCTATTACTATTGGAATAGACCGAAGAAGCTAAGAATGAAATAGAATGAAAGAACAGTGAACAAGGTTTAATTGTATCGAATATGATTTTAAGCCCATGCTGAATGACTGAGTTATTAACATTTGTTTGGGGTGACCCTTTTTGGCTCACCCTGTACTTAGTGTACCCTTTACTCTTAAGTTGCTGATCTATTTTGAAGGGACTCTGCCACACAAGGTTTAAAATGTAGCGCTCATTTCCAGTAAATTGCTATCTTTTAAGATTTCACTCACACACCGGAATAGCCTGACAACGGAAAGTCAGATACCGTTGTCACAAATGGCGGGCATAACCGTCGCAACGGAATCTGTATTTGGGATAATTTACAAAGACAACGGCATATGGTAAATTATTTAAAATTCAGATTCTGTTGTCATTGACGACATCGAAGACGCTATATTGTGCCAATTTACGACCCAATTTGATCGAAATTGGGATTTCATATGATACATCATCACAAGAGCTTAATACATGCACAAAATTAGTGACGATAAAGTTCCATGAAACGAGGACCAAGCGATTGAAGAGTTGAAGCGACGGTTATGTTCGCCATTTGTGACAATGGTATCTGACTTTACCGTTGTCAGGCTATTCGGATGTGACCCAGGAAGTGATGTCATATTACTGCATAACACTAGGGTCATGGCTGACTGAGTATCTGCGCTGTTATATGTTCATTTGAATTTTAGGGTTTATTTGAAGTGATTTTCAAACTTTCAGTCCAATCCCTCCAGCCTTTTTGATTTTATAGGGTCCTTACCACGAGATAAACAAACCGAGTAAGGATAACACACCCACTGTAGGAACTGTGTACTGTACCATTGCTATTTAATACAGCAAAATTTATGAAGTACATGTACTTACATCTATATATTTGCAGGGATGCTGCAAAAAGTGCTCCATCTTTTGGTGATCGTAAATGTTACCAGCTCCCTACAGGATCCATGGGCCTCGCAATGAGAGCAGTGGTAAATAATTATTAGATGTTAAAAATTAGGTCAAACATGTTTCCTAATTAAACAAGTCTAATTATATATCACATTTGTGTCAATCACCAAGTAGGGACATATTGTTTTAGTCTCCAACATTTTTTCTGGACAGTGTTTGGCGTTTGGTAGTCAGGGTTTGGAGTTTGGCATCTGTAACAAATGGCAGGTGGTGGCATTTTGCATGCTAATGCCTTTTTGAATCTTTTGAATCTTTTTGAATACAAACCTGGTCTGGTGCAACTTATACCCAGAATATACGTTTCAGGATCGAGACGTGGCAGAAGGCGCTGACATGCTTATGGTGAAACCTGGAATGGCTTACCTAGATGTAGTCAGGAAAACTAAAGATGCGGTGAGTTAATGCTTTTGTTTCTTGTTGATGTTGACCGAGCATATTGTTCTGCCATTCCTTTAGTCATATGAAATAGTTTGATAAATCAAGATGTCTGCTGGGACTAGTGAAGTAACTGATAAACTGAAAATTCTTGTATTTTAAGTTATGAATAGTTTCTGATTTTTAACTCAATTGTATTTTCTGTCAATGAGAAAAATGGTTAAGTTTTCACATTTTTAATGGTTCCCCATGTGATGTTTTGCATTTACATTACTATAGGGTGTCCGGAAAGTAAAGATACAAATGCTCTTATTTTAAGAGATTTGGGTCTTTTGAAATGAAACTGCTACAGATTGTAGAGGAAGATTACCACAATATATCTACCAACTTTCATCACATATAGTCTTAACGTGTTCAAGTTATGGTGGTTATGGTTACAGCTGTGAGGGGTAAGTGGAGCAGTTCCAGAACATCGCTAAAATGTCAAAAATTGCTAAAATACAGTACTGAAACAGTTTTTATTGTGGTATTTTCTTTCAATGTTTTGCTAATTTTTGTTTGTTGTTTGTATTATTACTGCTGTAGTTTTTTCTTTTATATAATGATGTCATTGTTACATATCAGAACTATTTTATGTCACTAACCAGTATAATCAAAGAAATATCATACAAGTGTTTAGAAAAAACAGCCTCTGGATTAGTTGGAAAGTCAATATTGCATCTCCATAATACACCCATTTTCAAAGCGAAGAAAACAATTCTTACAATGGATTGTCTTGACATAAACCTTTCTATACAATGCCCCATCTTCACCTGATAGAGCCTTTTTGACTTCCACCTAATGACCATCTGAAAGCAATATTTGTAAGAAGTTCAACATACAAAATGAGTCTCAGCTGAAAGTCAATGCTATACACAATTTGAGAGAGGGACAGCAATGATTTTGTCAAGTCTTTGAATCAGCGGTCAAGATGCACCAAAAATGTTTAGATAATGGGGAAAATATTGAATATTCAATGATAGTAGTTATATGAAGAGATCAAATAATGTTACGGTACTAATCCTTATGCTGTTGTAGTACATATTTTGATGTAATATAGGAATAGATGGTAGAATGCCAAGATGCTATGAGCAGGAAAGAGATTTGTAAAACACATTTGTGACGTTGCTCCACATACCCTCGACTCCCGTTACCATAACGACCATAACTTTTTCATTTTAAAACTAAAAGTCATGACCGTTGCAGGATATATTGCTATAATGCCATTCTACACTCTGGAGCAATTTCATCTCATAAGATGTAAATCTCTTAAAATGAGAGCATTTGTATCTTTACTTTACTTTACTTAGCAACATGGATAGTATTCATGACTCATCATATACCATTATTCACAGTACAATTGTAGCATTGACACTAGAGCCATATAAGAATACCAGTAGTACATCTCAACCTCACAGTACCATTGGGGCATGTACATATAGTAGTGATAGAGCCAGAATAAACCATATTCAATATTTCTGTCACTAGCTTCGAATCCTCCACTACCTCTCATCATCCATCTCCTATCCGATTAATGCAATATTGAAAAAAAATTAAGAAACCAAATCAACACTGTTATGCAACTAGCACCATGGCAACAAATATATTTGTGAAACAAGTTAAATTGATTTAATTTAAATTCTCAAGATATCTTCATGATAAGATAAAGATTTTGATAGATGGCACCCAAAATTAGGTTTAGGATTATTAAGAAGATGCAGTTGATAATAAAGATATCAGGCCTGCATATTATTTGTCCTGCTAAATAGAAAAACTCCTCGATTGATAAAAGATGACGTTGTTTTTATTCACATAAGAGCCAATGCAAAATATTGTGGTTGTGTTCTTTTAAATAGTTGAAGATGGAGGACCAGTTTTAATATGAATTACAATACAGTAGGCCTATACAATAAAGTGTTAAGAATTCCTTTGGTTCAGTACCACAAAAAGTGTTCTGCTTGCGAAGTGTACGTTTTTTAACAGATGTTTATTTTACAC